GGTGGCTGCTAGAGAGTGTCGAGTACAGCAGTGATAGTCGTAGTCAATGCTGTGGCAAGCGAAAGTGGGGCAACATATGGTGAAAGACACGCTCTAATGTAAACTTCACCTTCACTGAGTAGCGAGTGCAGGTATCATAGGTAAATATTGTTGACACTGATTCATCTCTGCAAGATCTCGTTCAGCAACGTGACGACCAGGGTTGCAGTGAAACTACTTCTAAGCCTCTAAATTCTAACGTCCGCTAACCCGACACGATTAATAGTGAGGATACATAAACCGGATTGCCGCAGCGTCGCCTTGGGAAATATGGTAAGCTAGCCCAGGTACACGACCCTTTAAGGGCAAAAGGAAGAGCGGTGCTACGCCTTGAGCATTTGCCATGCCTATTTGAGCCATAGGGTACGAGTTAGGATCTGTTGCTGGATATGGAGCCTGATGATTGATCGTCTGCATTCCCGCTATCGAGTCGTAGTGCATGATGGAAGCGTAGTCGTAGGTCGAATGGTAATCTGGAGCGGCTGGAGTCCTTGTAAATGAGCGGATTAAGCCCCATCCGAATCGTTCGCCGACACCATCCACTTCCGTAAGTTGCTGAAAGGTGACGTGGCTGGCTTGAGCAGCCTGCCAAGCTGGTGCGAATCCGTTGAGTTGCTGAGGCCTGAACTGAATGTAAATATCTCGATCCGGTCGTTGGTGCTCGTGAAGAAGGCCAAACACATGACCCAGCTCGTGTGCTATCTGCCAGACCGGGTTCGGAATCTCTCGCCCCGGTGTATCCACGGGCCCCTGGGTTAGATAATGTGCGCCCTTTTCTCTGCCTTGGTAACCAGCCGGAGCAAATGCCCCAACCACTTGAGGATCATATTTTATACGCACTGCCGCGCGAGGCATACCCTTAGTCCATTCGTTGTTGGCATCGTAACAATGGGGATAGTTGCCTGTGACTGGATGTTTCCAACGTTTGAATTCTAAGGCGTGGTTGTTTTCAGAAGCCGTTCCCATGACTGAGGTCCAAACAAGCCATGCCTGTTCCATGCGCTGCACCGGGATCTGTGTCTCTGCGAGCTGATTCTCGAAGCACCAATAGATTGTGAACATTGCCGTATATTCATCACGAGGCCACCTCCTTTGCGCTATTACAGGGTGCCTGCAAGAGTTAGCAAGTGTCGGGGTCGTTCACAAGATCGAATTATGGATGACGAACCCAGCAAAGACGACCCCAAAGAAGGCGAAGAGAAGAAGTAGGGGCAGCATGGCTGGGCGCTGAGTTAAGTTCCAGAGGGTAGATTCTGGGATTGGTCGGTGGTAGAGCTTCTGGTGGGTTGAGGCTAGTGGTATGTATAGTCGATGCAGGTCCCTGGGTAGGCAGCGAAGGTGGAGTGGGCCAATGCACTGAGTGCGGTGTCAGCGCGGCGGAAACAACGCTGGTGCAAGGGAAAGACAATAAGAAAAGTGTAGGTCTTTGCAATAGTTCTGCTAGCCCCGCGATAAACGACTAGGGACACCACTTCTTGGTCTGTGCGCTTTAGACTTGTCGGGCAAACGCTTTTTGAACCCTAGGTGGAGGCTCTTTCACTACCTAGGTAGAGTCAAGTGTAAGGTTGTCTACGAACTGCAATTTCTGAGTTCGCTACACCAGATTATAACTAACATATGGTTTGCCTACGACGCATGATATAAGTATTGCTGGTTGAACGCGTCACTGGTAAAGACTGAGACTAGAGCGTATGATGAGACACGAAATTTGAGCTCAAAGTTGAGCGCCTATCAGAGCTACAGCAAGTGCAGCTTTCCAAGTGTACTTAGTGGTTTTCTTGGACACTTCCCGTCTAAGTCTTGATCTAGCTATTCGCGGTCGTGGGCGATGAATAGAATGATCGAGCGATCCAAAAGCGATGATGGTCGTCAGTGCGTCGGTATCATAAAGATCACTGGTTTAGCGCGGGAAGACCTGTTATGCCCACGGATACAACAACTTGATAGCCTCTTTATCCAGTCTAGAAATTCCCCACTCCCCACTCGGACGCGGCAGCGGAAGGAGCGACTTTTGACCATTCTTTCCACCGGTGAGTCGAACCAAAGGGTAATTATCGGGGTTGTTCTGATCCTGATTGACAAGAGCAGGGTTGTGGCTCTGCCATGAGCTGTAGTGCATGATCGAATCGTAATCATATTCCGAGCTGTATGCCAAGCCGTCGTTTGTCCACTTGTAGTACTCTGAAGCGTCGAATTGGTAGTGCTTCGCAACATTAAAGATGTTACAGAGTTCGTTTATGGTAAAGCCGTCGGCAGTGGCCTTTTGGAGAGCTTCGTGGTAGCCTGTGAGACTGGCGCAGTTGAACTGGACGTGGTCGTCGCGGTCTCCGCGTGAGTGCTCGTGCATCAAGCCGAAGATGTGACCTGAACGAATACGATTAGTTACCGCTTGTATCCTGATGGAGGAGAAATAGTTGTACCTAGCTCGTGAGCCACGACTGTCTACCTGTTAGCGGGTTCGGACAATCAAAAATTGCTTATCAACTTACCCCAGGCCAGATCTCTGTTCGGTGCTTGTTCCGCGTTGCCGATACTCAATTGATGACGACCAGGTGAACCTTCAGCCCTATATCCCAAAGAAGACGCTGCTGCCCAGCCCCCTGGAGCACCACGCTTGATAACGACGGTGTCTGCCGGAAACAACTGGTTCCAATCGCCGTTCGCCAGATAGCAGTAGATGTCCTGGCCAGGAACAAGGCGCCGTGTAAAGAGCAGTGAATGGCCGCTCTCCTTGCCCCAGCGACCTAGAGAACGCTGCCACGCTCCCCAGCCCTCTGCTATTACTCCTTCCAGCTCATCTTTGGCAGCCTTGTTTTCGTAGCAGTAGGCGATTTCGGTCTTGCCGCTGTTATCGGGGTGCTTCGGCCAGCGACCGCTCTTGTCGGCGCCGAACCTGGGGATGTTAGTATCGTGGCGTTCAAAAGGTTGTGGGACTACCAACGAATCGCCGAACCAGCCCATACCTCCCTCAGGAGCGCTAGCTTCGAAGTTAGCAAAGACAAAGAGACAGGAAGTACCGCGACGGCGCACCAGGCAAAGAGCATAAGGAGTATCATAAGCAACATCGTGGCTCTAGTGTATCGTCCCCGTCCGAATGCACTTTGTTCCAACAAGGGGAATTTATTGAGTGTAATGATGTGGAATGCATCGAGGAAATCAGGAAAAGACAGATCCAAAGGCGATAACGAACCCAGAATCTACGCTTCCGCCCAGATTGAGTGTAGCGGTGGGAATTCGGTCCAGCGCTTGGCAGCCATAGTAAGTACGGAGTGAAAGATTCTCGTGTGTATTAACACCTCTCGTTTCTGCTTTCTCTTGTCCCAGTGCAATCACTTTGACTTTCCACAACGGTATCATAAGCTCGGTATTCGCAAATCCGCCGACATCGTGCCGGAAGCGCATGAAGATATCCAGCAAGATATATATGATCATTCTGGAAGACGAGAACCGATGAGGCTGATGTGACGCCAGAATGCTTGATAAACAAGAAAACGCGCTTTTGACTCGGACTGCGGTCTGCTGTTGCTTCTTGATGATCGCCGGAGGTGTATATTAGGGTGGAAATACATTAGAATGGCGTTCAGATGTCTCCTGAAGAGTCGACGCCACCAGGGCAGGATGCACCTTCATTCACTCCGTCTATGGAGAACACCCGAGCATGTTGTAGCTGTCCACAGGTCATCATTGTAGTAGGAGAAGCGCGGTTCGTGTGAGAGATGTCGTGCAGAAATAGGAGTACTGTGCCTGGGTAGGTGCCCAGGTGTCCGCCGCCCAGGAACGCGTGTGCGTGTCGCGCTAAGCACACCAAAGGAGACTAGCGTTGCGCGTCGCGCACCTGGGCACGGCAGCGGCAACTCACCAGCACCGAAGCTTCTGAACCTCCACGATGCTCTTCCTTCTGCGTGTTTGCTTGCATCCCAACCATCCCCAAATCTGACGTCACATTTGTCTTCTCTTTTTGAGTCAATGTGCTGCGCTGCCTCAATATCGCATTAACCTTTGTTTCACGTGATCTCGCGATCCATCCAAAGATTCTATACGACAATCGTGGACGGGTGTTTCTTCATCCGCACTTCATCGCAGAGGACTGAGTACCTGCCCAATGATGCCAGGCACTAAGATAGGTTGAGTGTGCATGGCGCTAACCTCGCAGGTCATCTGCATGCGATCGTTCCAGGATGCGTGTGAGGGGCGCAGCTGAAGCGGGCATGTCTTCACGCCACTACATGCATCTGGTCTAATTCCCAGGCCTCGCATTAATGATATACTGTTCAGATGAAACCCAGGCATTACCCCCAGGCTTCGCAGACTCTCCAACATCACCATATGCTTTTACAGGGTCGCTCTACGGCAGGATTCGATCAAATTGAAGCCCCACTTTCTTCGCCCCCACGGTAGCTCAAGCACGGCGCAATCGGATCACGACCTCCATGAGACTTCTGAATGCCAGGACGTATGAGTTCCACGACGTGTTGGGTGCGATCAAGCCCAATTACGCGATTTTATCGCATACATGGGAAGACGGGGAAGTGCTCTTCGAAGATATCCGTGACACGACCAGGGCCAAATGGAGTGCTAGGAAAGGCTACTTCAAGATCAAGAAAACATGTGAACAAGCCTTGCAAGATGGATGCGACTTCGTTTGGATAGACACGTGCAATATCAACAAGGACAGCAGCACAGAGCTTTCGGAAGCGATCAACTCCATGTTTCGGTGGTACCGCGATGCCGTTATCTGCTACGCTTACATCTCTGATATCAGTGCTGGGGACCGGCGTTCGTTATCCGAATGTCGCTGGCTCACTCGAGGTTGGACGCTACAGGAGATGATCGCACCAGATCGCGTGCACCTTTACGATATGAACTGGGATTACCTTGGCAGTCGCATCTCTCTTGCGGCGCAACTCTCGGAAAGTAGTGGCATCCACGCATCGGTATTGTTGCGAAGACATCGTGGACAGATGGGCTTCCAAATACCCACAGAGGAGAGTCATCTCGTCATGAAGTTCACAGGTGAAATTGAAGACACCTCATATTCCAGGAAAACGATCACAGAGAGCGAATGTCAATGTTGCACAAGCACCGAAGAAGACGACGTGCGATCGATGCTGGAAGGATTCAGCGTGGCGCAAAAGATGAAATGGGCTTCCAAACGAAAGACGACGCGAGAAGAAGACATCGCCTACTGTCTGATGGGGCTATTCGACGTGAACATGCCCCTGTTGTACGGCGAAGGGAAGAAAGCTTTCTACCGACTACAAAAAGCTATCCTTGGCATATCGTCAGATCATTCCATATTAGCTTTCCGGTCGGATCCGTCAGAGGATCTCGTTGCCGAACAGTCGCCGTTACTAGCACCACACCCTATATTCTTCCGCGATGAGATACTGAACATGCACATGCCGGCTCGCGGTACGCACACTACTCTTGCAGGGACTACACTATCTGTCGAGATGCTCATATGTCCGCTGGAAGGCAACGGGATAGCTCGCGACGAATACCTTGGCATTCTGGACTGCTCAATAGATGGAGATCCCTCCATGAGACCGGCTATCTTACTGTCACCTGTGCATAGAAAGAAGCTAATCTTCCGGCGAAGTTCCGGTGATGTCAGTCTCTTCCGGCTAGGGTCAGAACAACTCTCAGAGGCTGTACTAATAACCGACCATCAGCTGGAACCCGAAGAGTGTACGTTCAATCAAAGGCTCCAACGCTTTGAGTAAAGTAGCTGATCACCGCAGTGATGTGGGTGCCTCAAAAACTAGCTTACAATCTAAGCGATATCAAACGAGCTCGAATCACTCTTGTCGGCGAGAAGACCACCAATCAAGACCAACGCTATGCGAAAGCGCCCATACGCGTCACCATATCTCCTATCTTCCACGAATTGGATTTTCACATCACTTCTGTACCACCTCTACTGGCAGGGCACCTACCGGACGCCACATCTAGCATCGGCAGTATAGAATTGTCCAGTCCATATGCTGGACGATTCTGCGTTGATTGGTGGAAAGCCTCTCCTGGACAACTCCAATGCAACATCTCAGCAGGCCTACAACCAGGAGACTGTGGTGTGATACAACAACGAACCTTGCCCACGGTCAACCTAGAATTCGAGTCTAGAGACACCTGTAGGACGACACCACTCGAAACCCTGTGCAAGTCAGAATCTTTTTTACTCGCCATTTGGACAACGGCCCGTCTCAGTGCCCGTCTCAGTGTCTGGATTTCGGTTTCCAGAGAGACTTTTATTGGAAGAAGTCGCTTTGAAATGGAAATTGAGGCCAAAATCCTGAACCTGTGGAAGAACACGGAGCCAAGTAGTCAGCAGTCGAAGATGCGGAACATGTTGCAGGAGCGCAAACCGCGCATACCACCACCCATGGGAATGGGCGACGAGGCAAGACGACTGCCGCATCGTCAAAGAGATAAAACTTCACCTGCGAAAGAGGAACGGCAAGAGATCAAGATCAAGGCGTCGAATGAACATGATTGACACCTTCGAAATGACCATTGCTGTACTGAGCGTGGTCTTTGGATCAACACGTAGCTGCACAACTGAACCAAGCTCATCGTACAATGAATTCCTTTTCACACTCTGCTCATACGATACGTACTATTGCATACCACATCATACACATACGCGTATCGCGACTTGACAAGAAGTCGCATCATCGAAGAACTCTGCTACTCAGCGGAACATGAACGTCAAGGCTCCATCTGAACAAACACGTCATCATCAGCCGCCCAATCGCGATATTCTCACGCCCCAGCCTCCTCCTTCACCTCAGTCTCTTCCTTCATCTCGATCTCCTCCTTCACATCCTCCACTTCCCTGACCTCCACAACCCCCTTAAGCACCTTCTCCCAAACCCTCCTCGCAACCCTAAAACTCCTACACCACTCTTCCCAATCCCCCACTACATCCCTCTCCAACCACTCTCCTCCCCTCGCAGCCACATGTTCTATGTACTCGACAGTCAATTCTTCTTCTTCGTCTCCATCTCCACCTCCACCATCCGCTTCCTTCCCCTCCCCAGCCCCCGTACCATCCCCACCTCCCACCCCGTCGCCTTTCTTGTCATCACCCTTCTTCTCATCAGCCCGTGCTTTCATATCAGGATCAATAGGCGTCCACTCCAACAACTTCGCCTCCACTAAATCAGATATATCACACGGCGTAAAGAGGATTTGCACAACGTCTTCGGGGTTGAGTTGTTTAGTGTCTGGGTCTGCTTCCGGGGCGAGGGCGTAATATCCGATTGCGTGGCGCCCGTCTTCGTATAGGTTCGGTAGGAAGAGTATCGTCATCGCTATATCTGTCTCTTTCTTCTCGTGGGGTGTGTCTTCTGTGAAAGCGGGGTGGTTGACTTTCTTTTTCCCCGGCTGGTTTTCCGATTTGGACGCCTCCAAAGCTTCAGATGACTCGGGCGACAGAGCTGAGAGGCTTGGTATACCAGGAAGCCTCGCATTCGCCAATAAATTAGGTAAATGCGTAACCGCCGAGTCGAAATTTATAAAAGGTAGATTCCTCTCTGCGACACGTAGGATAGCGAGGAAGACAGCGGGATTGGTGGTGGTAGCGCGGTAGATGTATTCCACGTAGTTAGGGCGGTTGCAGCGTGGTTTGGGCAGCTTGGTGTAGTCGATGATTGTGTCGCTGACTTCGGGTACGTAGGTACGTTCGTCGCGCTTGGACTTGGGGCTGTTGGCGTTGGCGCTGTTCTTCTCGTCATCCTTCTCATCCTCGTCTCCATCCTCGTCGCCATCTTCATCGATCAGTGGTGAAGACCCAAGCGGTGTAACCGCATCCTTCGGAATCGTCATCTTCATGTCCTCAGCATAGTCCGTCGTGATATGCGCATACGTCTTCTTCAGCGTGAGTTTATGCCGATAGTCCACTATACCTCTTCTATAGCCCGGAGCGGTGTCGAGTTCAGTGGTGTTAACTACGATGTCGTCTTGGTGCGAGTCGAAGGGGTATCGCTTTTCTTTCTTCGGCTTTGCGGGTTGCTTGGTAGATGGGGCCGCGGGGGGTTTGGGGGCTACGATCTTGGGGACGGTGCGTTTGGGGGGTGCGCGGTGGGGGGGTTGTGTCATTGTTGCGGGTGGGTTGGCGGTGGTAGGTGTTGTGTCTACGGAGACGAGGGCGTCGTGGACGGAGGTTATTGGGAAAGGCGCGGGCTGTAGGGATTAGTATGAGGAAATCATCGGTCACTGCGAGGTCGAGATATATGTCCGTGCAGAGATTGCGCTTGTTGTTACTACTTCACTACACTAGCGCAAGCCAAGGCGACTATACAACTACTGTTTCCACACAAGCACTAATCAGACTCGTCGTCCGTGTCTACCCCAAGTACAAGCGATATCTTGTCATCGTCACTGTCCTCGTCGTCGAGGTCTCCTTCACCTGGCTCGGGAAGTTCAGGGACAGCCGAGGCGGTGCTGGTAGCGGCGAAATCTGACGTAGCTACCAGAGTTGTATTCGGAGTAGCTTCGCTGAAGGTTATAGATGCTGCTGGCGCAGGAGGTATTGGGTGTGTTGTGCGCTGCTCGTCTTCGCCAGTCTTTGCTCGCTTGGAAGGCGAAAGAGGACCATCTTCGCCTATCGGCCGCTTGGTTTCGCTGAACGCGGTAGGTTCGGAGATGGTAGGGCGTTGCGCAAGTGTACCTTTGCGAACTGATCGTGGAGTTGAGAGGTCAGGTTTGCTGGGTGTTGGCGCGTCTTCCATAGCAAAGTCCTTCGCTGCCGTATCTGATTGCCCAGCGGTTTCCAGCAGATTGTCCAACTCTTGTCCAGCAAAGTGGTCATCTGCCTGCTCCAGAGCTTGCTGCTCTTCTTCTTCAACTTCTTCATCCTCAACATCCATCTCTTCGTCTTCATCGTTGCCATCATCCAACTCCAAATCCTTGCCACCCAGGCGAATGACTGGCATCCTTGGTCTAAGCATACCCTCTACATCCATCTCAGCGGAGAACGATCGAGCCATGAGTGGTAGTATGCTTGCTGCGGGCTTTCCAAACTTCTTGCTTGGTGGTGGGTTCAACACGCTAGCTACCATGGCTTCTTTGTGTTGGGTGAGAATAGCGGTACGGTCCAGGCGAGCGCGCATTGAGTCAGACAGGTATTGAGCCGGAATACTTGAGAGTAGAACCGGAAGCAGATCGTGGGCGGCTTGTTGGAGTCCAGGGAATCCAGCGTTGGGGCCGCCGGCGTTCTTCGCAGCGCCAAGGAAGCTATCGGCGTTGGCAGTGGTCTGGGGCTGACTGTTTCCATTGGCCTTGGCCTGGCCGGGCGTCCGTTGGTTTGTAGGCGCCGCGGTCTCGGGCGGTAGTAGATCGTCGCAGCAAGCGCGAATGAGAGGCACGAGGGAATCGATGGTAGTCTTGTGGAGAGCGACTCCAGATCTCCTCAACAAAGCAGCAATTGCCGTGTAGCATGCTGTTCTGATCTGGGCTGTCTCTTTTTCCGCACTAAATACCCACACAAGTTGGTCAATGATGGCAGGATCCAGTGCCAACGTGCTGCTCTGGGATCTGTGTGCTAGAGCAAGAAGCACTTCAATCGCGGCGACATGTACGTCTGGCAACAATAACCAAAGGCTTTCACGCTCGTCCTTACTGACTTGGGCATTTAGACGTACGGTGTTCTGGAAGTTCTTGCTCGCCGCCACGGGAATGGTGAGGGAAAGCATTCTCGAGAGCAGGTCAACGATCATGCCAACATTGAGATACACCGTGTTGGCTGTGGGGCTTTCGATGTACTCCTTGATGACGTAGAGCAGGCCTATCAAGCGTTCGCCACCCGCGAACATTCCCGACCAGGCGGATAGATCTGAGCTCGGCTCCAGGTCTTGAACTTCGTCATCCAGTGTGTGACCGTTCGACAGAGGTGCTTCACGTGCCGTAGATTGCCAGTCTTCAATCACGGCGCGGAACACGCGGTCTGTCGTCTGATGAGTGACGTTTGTGATGTGCTTGACAGCCTTTGTCCACTCTTCGCTCGAAGCTCCTTTTGGTGCACAGCAAGGTAATTGGACGTAGAGTTGGCGCGCAGCAGCTGCGATATCCGAGCACGCCCCATGGTTAGTTCCAGTCCGCTGCTCTTGGCTGAGTTTATCAGATGGCGTGGGTGCGATGAGACGTCCGAGCAGCGGGTAAAGTTGCTTTAGATAAGACCGGAAGATGGTAGGATGCCGGGGCAGCAGCTCATTGAAGCTTTCTAGGATGATCTGTAGCAGACTGACGGGGGTGGCTTTGGCATTTGCTATCTGTAGACAGACTTGGACGAAAGGTGATAGCGACGGAGTAGTGATTTCGCGGATCAACGTCGGGTACTCTCTGGTCAGAAGGAAGATGCGCGTCAAGGTGATGATGCAGAGCTTCTTTGACGACGGCGAATCTGGCTTGTTCAAGAATCCTAGAAGACCACGCACCCATGGCAAACTCTTCTGCAGAGTCTCCCAACCCCCAACTTCAATCGTGGCCTTGATCAAGACTATGGCACACCATCTTCCTTGGGGAGTCCGGTCTTGGAGCAGAGTGGTGAGTAGAGTGCGGTATTTGTGTATAGCGACGGATGCTTCCGAGGACGTCGCTTTGGTACCTGAGGCCTGGGCCGAAGAGAGGAGGGCCCTGCAATTGGCTAATGACGCAGCTATGGCAGGCACGTGTTGGGGGAGCTGGGATGTTGCCGTGGAGGAGATGCGGAAACTGAGCGCTCGCAGCGTCGCCAGTTCGGAAGCAATGGGCGCCATAGCAATAGCGATTCCCCTGGTTATTGATTTGATCAGCTCGTCTCTGATCAGCGGAATGGCTGTTGTCGATGGCTGGTAGAAAAAAGTTCAAGGCCCGGAGTTAGCGTCGGACCGCATGCGCTAGAGCAGCAGGGATGTGCGGGCCAACTGGAAGAGTGGGACTCGTGCAGTCGGTCAGTGACATGTGTACAGCCATGGCCGGCGTCGTCGCATTCAGTATTGCTCGTCGAACATGATTCTACAGACATCGCGACCCTGTCCAGAGCCCAAGGCATATTCTTAGCACCATGGTGGTATGTCGAGGGTGCTGTCCTCCCTCTCCCCTGGCGCCGAAGCAACGTCATGTTCAACAACGGTAGCTTACAGGACCTACAGACCCCCCCTGAGAGCGAAAAGGCCAAGCGCTACATACAGCAGCTGGACGAGGCTCGATGCGCCGGACGATGGGCCGACGTGCCTGAGCTGTGTCGCAAGGTCGAGAAGCATGCGCCGCACCGACGATGTCAGCAAACCTCTCTGTTTGGTCTTTCTAAGGGCTAACGGCGACCCAAGGCCTCACCCTCACAGCGCGCTCCGACGCCCAGATAGCCGCACACAGCACCAAGAGGCCCTCGACCGCCTCCTCTGCCGCCTCCACCACCGGCCTGTCACAGATCATACCCTCGTTGCTCGCAACAATCGAAGAAGATGGCACGCAGGGTCAAGACGCCTTCCAGGCCAACGTCTGCCTCGGCTGGGCCCATTACGTGCTGGACGAGCCGGGGCTGGCAGTTGCGCGGCTTCCACAGGACTTTGGGGCAGTCGCGACCCAGCTGTTGGGCGAAGCAGGCACCTTGAGCGGCTGGTCTCGGGTGTGTCTGGTCAAGGGCACATATCTCAAGGGTACAGCTTTACTGTGTGACCTCATTCTGGCCCGGGAACTGACGTGATCCAGGTTCCGCGCTCGAAAAGACAGGTGCGATTGGTGAGGCAGCCACGATCTACTCGTCAATAATACCCTGGCTGTCCACGACCACCACGCCGAACACCGAATCGGCCCAGTTCAAGATGTGGGGAGAACAGTCTCTCGTCCGTCTCTGTCAGCTGTCCGACCAGTCCATGGGCCTCAGCGAGCGAATCAACGCGTCCGAGGCTCTGCGCACCTACCGCTACTGGGCAAAGTTCTGGGATGCAACTTCTAAGAACGCCGCATCAGACGTGGGCAACTCAGCACGGTATCGAAGACTAGCATGGAAGGCCTACTACGACTCGCTATCAACAATCCTCCGCTATGACCTCGCCTACGAACCCGATTCCACGCCCATCATACAAGAGAAGCCAACGCCTACCGCCCAGTCAGACGCTCGATTACGGCAGCGGGCGGAGCTGAAACGCGTCGAGGCTGTCTACGAGAACCTGTTGATACGAGAGACACACTTTCCCAAAGCCAGCGAGACCAATCATGAAGTCGAAACGTGGGTGGACTCTGTCATGGACAACTGGCGCCTCCTCTGCGGTCCTACCTGGAGCGACGATGATCTAGGCGAAGGAGGGAAAGAGGGTGTTGCGCGGGGCGTGCTTGATGTAAGTTGTTCGTCAACCCCGAGAAGATCCAATTACTAATATCATCTAGATCCTCTATCGAGCAGCCACCAAGACGTACCACTCGACCCAGATCCTGCGCAACCTCTTCGTTGTCCACGCATCTCTAGCCGAGCCTGAGCTGGCATACAAAGCCTACGATTCCTATGTCGAGATCATCACGCGGAACAAGGATCGATCGGAAAAGTCAGGCGAACTCGAGGCTGGCATTGACGACGACAGCACGGTGTTGAGGACTTCTGCCGAGGCCATCAGGATGCTCTGTAGATGGGGGTCTAGGCATGACGCCGAAAAGGCTCTCGAGATTGCTCACAGTATCGAGCACTGGTTGGAGCAGGCAGATCACCTTCGCTCAACGTCTGATACCCGCTCAATTGCTTCGAGCACATCGTTCGTCGAACCCACGGCCCTAGCTGCCGCCTATTGCGCCATTGGCATCAGTCAAGCACACTGGGCACGGCTCACTTACGAAGTTGAGGCACGGGCCACGATCCAGGCTAAAGCTGTGCAGTACCTCAGGAAGTCGCTTTCACCTAATCTCGGCGACGAACATAATGTGGAAGCTCTGTACGCCCTCGCTTTGGTTCTCGCGGAAACAAGGGACATTCCCGGTGCCATCAAAATCGCCAAGCGTGCACTTTCTCCAGCAACAAAGGGCACGACGGTCAGTGTAGACGGAGTTCTGTCGGATGGTATCACCACTGAATATGGACGCGAACGCAAGTTGATACCCGTGTGGCATCTTCTTGCCCTGCTTTTGACGTCACGGTCTGAGTTTACCGCTGCTGAGAAGGCGTGCGAGGCGGCTTTCGAACAATTCGGCGATCCTGCTGTCCTGTTCGGCCGTGACTCGGGCGCATTCCGAAGCGAACACCTCCAAGAGGCTGCCGGTCAAGAGCCTCTTGAGTCCGGTATTGTCGATCGAATGGAACGCTTCGAAAAGAGCAACATACTGCAGATCAAGATGACGCAGCTGTCTCTTCTTGAGATCACCGATGGTGCCACCGCTGCGGTTGACGGATGTGACGAGCTCCTTGCACTGTACGGTCGACTGTTCGGCGATCCGGCAGCTGACAAAGTCAAGACCCCACCGGAACCTGCGTCGCTGGCGCCTCCAAAAACCGCCTCGGGCACACGAGGTAGTATCTTCCGCGGACGAGGGTCAGTCAGAACGACTCAGCAAGAGAATGTTGATCGAAGTAAATCTGTGGTCAGCTCCAAGACAGCCACCACACAACCAGAAGTGCCGCCTGCGATCCAAGTCACTGATGACAACGGCGCAGCTCCTACTAACGGTCATCACCGCCACCATCTGTTCCACCACCACAAGCAGGATGATGGTCAGGCCGGCAAAGACACTGTTCCAGAGGTACCACCGCTTCCAGAACACGTTCCAAACAGCACTCGTGCACGCAGTAATACTGCAAACTCAAAATCGCCTCGACGCATTTCCAATCCTAGCTCTCCAGGAAAGTCAATAGAAAAGGGTGACACACCACTTCCACCCGTCGCCCACAACCTAGATCACTCCTCTCCGCCTTTGGGTCACGAAGAACAACCACCCAGACAGGACACTCGCTTGCCTTCGCGCCTACCACATGCTGACTACATACCTGCGGATCCCCACTTTTCCAAAATCCAAGAACGTCGTCAAAAAGTCTCGTTGCTGGTCAGCATATGGATCTTCATCTCTGGATTATATGCAAGAGCGCACATGTTCCAGGATGCTAGGGAGGCTGTTGCCGAGGCATTGAAGCTAGTGGAGATATTTGAAGCAGAGGTGTCATTGGAACACTCAACAGCCAAGGCGCTCGCTGACAAGGGGTGGGGTGGCGGCAAGAGTGTTGAGGAGTTGTGGGCGGACGTGTTTGCTGCTGTAAGTCTCCCAATATCTTCGATGTTACCTCTACTGACATTGCTTCAGCGCGCAGAACAGCTTGTGGCCCAATCGATGAAGCATGAAGCTCGTGCAGACTTTGAGCGCGCTCTACAACATTTCCCAGACCACCCTGAAGCCATCGTCGGCCTTTCAAACATCCTCTTGGATATCTACAGCGAGGTCATACCGCTGGAGCCTGCCAACACCGACACCATATCCCCTCCGCTACAGTCATCGGCCTCTTCAATTCATACAAAGACGTCAGCATCGAAGACCCAATACCTAACCTCTCACACACCGTCGGTAGAGAACCAGCTCTCATCCCCGACACTAACCCGCCTTGCGGCCCGCGACCGCGCATTCGGTTTACTATCCACATTGACCAAGCTTGGTGCTGGCTGGGACTACTCCGAGGCATGGTATGCGATGGCGAGAGCCTACGAAGAGAGTGGGCAAATTGACAAGACAAAAGAGGTACTATGGTGGTGTGTAGAATTGGAAGATACGCATCCCGTGCGCAGCTGGAATGTAGTCACCACGGGCGGTTTCGTACTATGATTGAGATTGCAATAATCGTACGTAGATTGGGCTGTCCGTATACCCATCCTAATTATGCAAGTTTGGATCTCTTTTGAAACCATCAATCCAGCAATCTCTCCACACTGACTGGAACAATGAAGTGACCCACCTCCCTAACATCCCATCTCGCCCGTGCACCTCAAACCAAATCCCCCACCCCCAACCCCCCATAATAAACAACCCCCCTCCCCCTCATCCTCGCACTCTTCACCCCCTTAAGCACACTCTTATGCACCACAACCTCCCTCATCCCCCACCCCTCCGCTCCCCCAGCCCAACCCCCCAACACCCCGCCCTCCCCATCCAAAAACCTCACTTTTATACTCAAGCACACCGTCGTCGCGCGGCGGCACACAAACGCCCAACACGCATGACACACCATGCGTTGCAGTAACCAGGACAAGTTTGTGTGGCCAGGCCGGACGCGAGCCAGATAAGGATGACTTGGGAAGAATATCCGATACGCGATATTGCGGGGGAGGGAGGTTGTTGCTGTGATGGGGCCGCCGGTGAAGGAGGTGGGTATGTCGATTAGGATGTTTAAAGGGGGGTAGATGTGCAGGGTTGGTGGGGGGATGCATGTCGCTATATAGGAAAGGATTCGGAGGATGAATGTTGTTACTGCTTCTAGAATGTCTAGATCTGGATCTGGGGTGGTGGTGAGGGTCCATATCCTGAGCCTCTTAGCCAGCTGTTCGGACGTGATTCCGCCCTCTCGGTAACGCCGGATGGACCGGGTGGTGAAGTCTCGTCTTCGCGGTTCTATGCGGTGGAAGAGGAAGGTCCAGAATGTGGGTTGGAAACGGAATGAGTCGTGTAGGTTTATTACTCCCAGCATATGTTCTGCGTGGATTATTATTGTGGGGGCGGTGCTTTTAATGGCGGAGAGGTGGGGAGAGAGGATGTAAGACGCTTCTGTGTGGAGTTGGTGGTTTGTTGCGAGGAGGGAGATGCCTGGGATTGTGGTGGTTACTAGGGTCAGGTGGTGTGGGCCGGATTTTAGGGGGATGGTGTGGTGTTGGGTTTTGGGGATGAGGTGGGTGAATATCTTTTGTCGGAGTTCTTTGGGGAGGGAGAGGAGGGGGAAGGGCTTTGGCGGTATGGATGTGGATGTGGACGGCGTTAAGGATGTAGGATTTCCTGGCGAGGGGAGCGAGGGAGGTGGTTCGGTTGGGCCCATGGTTATGCCGGGATGCGCGGCTGTAGGATTTGGTGGTGTGGTAGCTGATGTTGTCCAGGTGTGTCTCTGTAGTCTGGTTTGAAGCGAGTGATTATCTGTCCCGTTAGAAGTACGCGGAGTTAGTGATGAGTGAGACAGTGAGATGAAATTGTCTTTCACCGGTACAAGCGAGCAGAGGCATTTTCTTTCCACAGTGTTGGTTTCAGGGTCGAGAAGTGGATTCTGGTTACCCACGTGTGTTCCAAACTATAGCTTTGCTCTCCGAACGCGGAATTACGAGATATGACTAGAATTCGGGTCGCATACGTGCTTTCGAAACTGTACAAGTAGATGCTAAGATGTTGCATACTTCTACCTTTATGATATTGCTGTAGATGTAGCCATGTCTAGTGTGCTCATGGTCTTTGTCGTGACCAGAACGTGGTGGTCAAAGTAATGTAAATATGCGCGAATGGTTTGCGCATCGGTCTCACCTCGATGTTGCTGAAAGAAGTTGAAGTGCTGGTTGATAGGCAGCCTCCGTGGCTTGCTTGCCAAGGACACATGGTCGAGCAGAGTTTGAGTGTCGTGCTGGACGATCGACACGTCTCCATGGCTGACGCATGCATCATCTGAAACAAAAGTTGTCTAATGGACAAATTACGCAGTCGCATAGCTGGTGAAGGTGTGGGAGAGGTTGATACTAAGGCACGCGCGACGCCAGACGCGTCAACGCCACGACCTGACGTCATTGGTCGGAGCGAAGACACGAGCTACCTTGGACACGAACTTTCGCGTCTTTCACACCCGGCACCACTCATCTCAACATACTATGGCGCCTTCCTTGCTCATTTTCGAGACTCAAACGAAGGCATTTTGCTTTATAGTAGTGGTTTGTTCGAGACTGGCTCGCTCATTCCCGCGTTGATCGCGTCCCACTGCGGCTTCCACGACTACTAGGCGCGACGGGAGTGCCTGCTAACGTCTCATAGCTCTCGCCCATATTGACGGCTGACCTGGCAAGCATGAATGATGTAGCAGCTGTCGCAGAGCGCGTCGATGCCATCCGCAGGCTGGACTTGTTTGTTGACGCATCACGCCGAAACATCCCGTCCATCCATCTCACCGCCGCCATCGATAACGCATCAGAGTTGTTACGAGACTATCAGCACGAACCATTCTTCTCCTCGGTACTGTTACTACTGCAACGCTCAATATGAAGGCCGCTTCACTGCTTTATGTGCTTTCGGCCCCATTGCTCTTTGTCAACGCGGACACCAATTCGACCGATCACCAGCAGTGGGAAGAATCACTTGATGCCTTCATCATGATTCAACAGGACATATCACTGCAGGGGATGCTAAACAACATCGTCGATGGTATGGTGGTTGCTGGTCGGTCAGATCCAGATTGTACGTGCCTTGAGCCTACCATGATCAACAGACTGCTAACGGTCAAGACTGGTTTACGTGGACCAGAACAGCTGCGTTGACTTTCAAAATTCTCATCGAGCGCTCTAATAGCGAGTACTGGGATATGAGGGACACCCCAGAGATTTCCGATCACATAGCCGATTATGTGTTATCACAAGAGGAGCTGCAGACCGTTCGGAATCCCTCTGGTGGCATTAGGTCGGGAGGTCTTGGGGAACCCAAGTTCAACGTCAACGGCACTGCTTTCAACAGTGCCTGGAACCGCCCTCAACAAGATGGTCCGGCGCTCCGTGCTATAACTCTCATCATCTATGCCGAAAAGCTCCTTGCGAACGCAGGATATTTGGATCAAGACTCAGACGTATGGGAGATCTGGCCGAGCATACAGGAAGATCTCGAACACACTGTTCGATACTGGAATCACACGAGCTTTGATATGTGGGAAGAAACAAAGGGCTCTTCGTTCTTCACTCTCTCAGCATCACATCGCGCTTTGGTTCAAGGCATCGATCTCGCAGAGAGATTGGGCGAACGCTGTGACGGCTGCGCTGCTACCGCTCCGCAGATACTGTGTCTCATGGACAGATTCTGGGACCTGAAGCACATGCACGCAAACCTCAACGCCAAAGGTCAACGAAGCGGTATCGATGCAGGAACTATCCTATCCTCTGTTTACACGTACGCTTGGGGGGGAGCGTGCAGAGACAGTACCTTCCAGCCATGCTCTTCCAGGGCTCTAGCCAATCACAAGACAGTGACCGACTCCTTCCGCCCTTTATACGGCATTAACACCGGCATTGCGCAAGGCCAGGGAGTTGCCGTTGGAAGATATCCTGAGGATAATAATCACGGCGGTAACCCGTGGTATGTGACCACGCTCGGCGCTGCAGAGCAGCTCTATCGAGCGGGACTTCAGTGGCAGGACCAAGGACAATTGACGATTGACGAAACCTCGTTACCCTTCTTTCGCGACCTACTACCAACGATATCTGTCGGCACCTACCGCAGTGGTTCCGATCCGGCCATCTTTCAATCGGTCTTATCCGCTGTACGAAACTATGCGGATAGCTACATGGCCTTAGTACAGAAATACACGCCCACCGATGGAGGCCTTCCAGAACAATTCGACAGAAACAACGGCGTGGCTGTTTCTGCCTCGAACTTCACCTGGTCACACGCTGCATTTTACACGGCCGCGAATGCACGCGCCAGTGTAAGAGGATATTTCTGGCCTGAGCTGATAAACCATTCCTTCAGTTCGTCGCAATGTTACTGTCACGTTCGTGTGACCTTCAGGGTTCGTTCTGATCCGGGTAAGGTGTTGTATGTTGTTGGCGATGTCCGAGAGCTCGGAGATGGGAAGAAGGAGGATGCAAGAATGTTGAGACAAGAGCGTGGTGGCTCTGAATTCCAATACCAATACGCCAACTACTCTGCGCAGATCGAACTACCTGCGTCGACAAGGATCAACTACCACTACTTTATGTTGGGTGTCGGACGTCCCAAGGAGGAGGCCAAGTATGAGTATCGGCATATCGAAACAGGCGATTGTGGAAGCGATGTTGAGATACTTGGCGACGTCTTCATTCCCCGTTACTGATGAAGATGATCTTCTTTGGCTTGGGACATGGCATTGCATCGTTGGGTTTGTTTTGTTTTTCATTCCTACTTTGAGTCACTTCTAGTTGCTCAGCTTACAATACAAGTCATTTTCATCAAGATGTTGGTCTGAACCACTGATACATACACAGTCTCTAGTAAAGGTTCTGCGACCCCTCACATCCTATTATATTTATGCTACACCCTCGAGCTAATCGTTTATCATAGCGATACCAGAGCGCAGGAGCGAATCAGAATACCTTGTCTGCACCTTGTGTCAGCCTCATTCCACAAAGCGACTACGCGGCACAAACGTACCGTGACCTGCTAAACGCAGTCTTGCGGAACCCAAGCCTCGATCCATTCTCCGTACTCAAGGTCAAAGTGCTCGACAAAGTAACCAAATCTACCACCTGGAGAGGGGCCGCGCAATGGAACATACTGCGACACGGAATGAGCTGCAAACATTAGAGGCGCTGTACACACTCTAAATCGGATGTCGCGTCGTTGAGCCAGATACGGTCGCTCGGCTGCATCCTCGAATCGAAGCAAGGAAGCAACAGTTTCTTGACGGCCCATCGACAGTACATGCATGGCGTCAATGGCAATGTCAATCGCTCTGGCTCTTGGTCGCATTTGAGATAAATGCCAACCGGCTTGACGCGCCCAGTGGATTATAGCCGGGCTATTTGGATCCGAAGCTGAACTCTTGGGCATAGCGGTCACGCAGCTAGATCCTGTCCTGCGCGCCTCCAAAAACCAGGTCAGAAACTCCGAAGCTGCCTCAAGAGGTCCTTGCTTGCGCGCAATGACTTCCAGATCTCCACATAGGACAATGAGTTTAGGGCCCGATCGCGACACCTTGGAAAAGCCGTCGACTACTAGTGCGCTGTTGCGCTTAGCCGCAGTGCGCGCAATGATTGGTGTAGCTTCTTCTCGGATGATCTTGGAGATAAGTCGTACGGTGGTAGGATACCAAATGTTAATGAGCTTGACTTTCGTGGTTTTCGTCTTAAGAAGTCCGCTCTCATTGTCCGTCTCGATGGTGATCTCGTTGTGCGCAAGACATGTTGGCAGGAACTCGTAAACCATGAGCCTGATGTCGGCGGGTAGATCAAGGAAGCGGAAGTCCATGGGTGTGGGCGGTAAAGAATGGCTCATGGTGGGTGTCGTGTTGGTAATTGGGGGTGATGTCAGTTTGCAGCATTTGAAAAAACCAACTAGCGTGACTTTTACGGCTAGAATGGAAGACAGTGAAAGTGAAAGACCCCGACCTGATGTATGCGCTCTTCAGATTTAGCTTATGTCTGATGTCGATATATCGACGACAGTCTGGCATGACTCGCCTGTGCGTGCCTCTGGCGCCGTCACCGAGTCAGTGAGCCCTCAGCTCAACCCCGCGACTTCCATCCGTCGCAATCCAACACAGCACAACATCACCCTCAAGCATGAGTGGGCCAGACGCATATGAACAGCACCGACAGTCTCGCACGTGATGACCGGGACCACGACCGCGACCAAGCCTGCAATGAATGCCGCCGACGGAAAGCGCGATGTGACAAGACGCTCCCAGAATGCGGGCCCTGCAAGAGAAACAGGAGACACTGTCTCTACGAACGTCACAGTAGGACCCCATTGACGCGCAAATATCTCACCCAAGTTGAAGAGCAACTTCTTCGATCACAAACTCAACTCGCCCGCGCAGAACAACGCGTCCAAGCAGCCGAAGCGCGTGTGCGACAGCTCGAGACCGCCCAGGGCGACGACGCGCCATGTCCCCACGAAGATGCTGCCAACACAAGAGGCGCAGCCGACGAACCGCCCATTGAAGTCTCGCTTGAAGGGCCGCCTTCTGGTCCAGCTGACTTCAGTTGGGATGAACAATCCCAGGAAAGCGGTCCAGCCGAGACAGACGCCGCGAGCACACATACACATACTTCTCCCGGAGAAGACGAGCGCGTCGTCGATGGCATGGCCTCACTCACCGTGGATGAGAGCGAGGCGGGCTATCTAGGCGTTGCGTCAGGTGCTGCCATGTTGCGACTGCTCCTTCCCGACGCTCAGCAGTCTTCGCGGAAAGCGCCACCCACGTCCAGCTTCAGCACAACTACACCGGACAATGGGCACTGGCTGTACACAGATCTATGGGATAGCCTTGATCTAGGAGCCGTCGACCTCGATGCTGCTATCAACGGTTACTTCGGCCTTTATCACATCTCGTATCCTATCGTAGAGGAACACACCTTCCGTGCTCAATACGCCCAGGTCATTCCTCGCCCCAACGGCCGTAGCTGGCATGCGCTCGCGTTCATGATCGCTGCAATAGGCCATTTCACAACGGCTACAGGCCCGGCCGACACAGACAGGAGATTGTTTATGGCTGCCAAGTCTAACCTGTCGATTGAGAGCTTGGAAATTGGCAACATCACCCTTGTCCAAACCCTCACGCTCATGTCCAACTACCTGCAGAAACGGAACAAGCCAAATAGTGGGTACAACTATCTTGGTCTTGCCCTTCACATGGCCATCGGGTTAGGACTACACAAGGAGTTCAATCATTGGGACATCTCCCCACTCAACATGGAGATCCGCCGGCGCGTATGGTGGTCTATGTTTGTCTTCAACATTGGCGCAGCTGTCACATTTGGTCGCCCTCTGGCCTGGCCCAACAAGAACGTTGAAGTCCATTTGCCTTTGAACATTTCCGACAGGGCTTTGACTAATCTGTCACGCACTGCTCCGAGCGAGGCGGACCACGTGACAACGTTCAGTGCCGTCATCATGCAGTCCAAGTTCCACATTCTAACGAATGACATATACACGAAGGTCATATCCATGCCCTTTCCAGCCGCTACGGAGTTGATTCGTCTCGATGATACTGTAATAGACAGATGGCAATCATCAGTGCCCGATTGGTATCGCCGTGGAGCGACCGTGCCCGCTCAATTCGCGACTAGCCATGCTATTATGTGGTGGCGGCTGAGCAACTTCAGGATCATCATGTATCGACCGTATGTCATTCGCCGTGTACTGCAAGCCAGATCGCAAGACATGGACGATACTGTCCCGGCATCAGTGCAAGAGGCGTATGCCAGATGTCTTCGCGAAGCTGAGATGAGCATTGATGCCATCAGTACATTTTGGGCTAGTTCTCCGCCCATGCGTATGTCTGCATGGTACGCATTGTACTTCTTGTTCCAGGCTTCGCTCATACCCTGCGTGTGTTTGCGTAACGAACCTAGTTCGCCTTCCTCGGCAAGTTGGCGCGCGCAAATCAAACGGACAATGCATACTATGCAGCTATTGTCGTCAATAAACCCGAGTGCTCAGGACTGCCTGAATGTACTTCAACGTCTCTGTGGCCCGTTCCTACAATCTGAGATTACTGGACAGGACGCACATGTGCTCGCGACTCCCGCTGGCGACCTGTTGGAACATGCTACCGAGGAGTCCCCACAGACACAGATCAACAACGTCTACAGCATGATGTGGCCGAATGCCAATGATGCCGAGGCTGATGTACTGATGCAGGGGGGACTCTGGCCTGACTTCCTTCCGGACGTCGATGATTCAGGACAGCCACGACCTAGCGGACCCAATGTTTACTCCGATTCACAATTTGCATGGGGTTAAAGCACGATTTCGTCTCTACCAAGACACCACGCATATCTATTGGTTACAACAATCTACCAATCAACATACCCCGGCTACCTCGATATGCTGCTTGTCGAACTTTTCTTCCTTTTTCACAAGACCTGCATCAGGCGACGCTCCAGGGCCATCAAAGATCTCAGCAATCTCCTCCAAGCTCCGACCCTTCGTCTCTGGGAAGAAGAAGTACGTGACACCGAGGAAGACCACCAGCAAACAGCAGAAGACTATATAGTACTTCCAACCCAGGTTCTCCATGCCGACCGGATTGACGAACGCTTGGATGACCAAAGAAACATAGATGGAGAGCAGTTCGCAGCTGATACCCTTCGATCGGAGACTGTAGGTAAAGATCTCAGTCGGATAGCTCATCAATAGCGGCGTATATGCGATGTCGTAGTGGAAGTAGAAAACGAAAAGGCACACCACCACGACATACCCTGCCGCTTTATTGTTGTCCTCGTTGTTGACCGCCGAGCATGCCGTCCAGACAATGTATGAGATCAGCATGCCGATGCCACTCCAGAGGAAAAGAGTTCGTCGTCCGAGTCGGTCAACCAAGAGAGCCGCGCTTACAGCTGCGGCAAAGTTGAAGATTTGCAACAGACCATTGATGAGCGTCTGCATAAATGGATCCGTTATGCCGATCGAGTTTAACACCAATGTGAGATAGTAGGAAACGACACCTATACCGTTCCACTGTGCAAATCCTCCGACGCACACGGCGAGGAAGAGCCGCTTCCGGTTGCCAGGGGTGGCAACAAGCGCACTCCATTGTACCGATTTGGCTGCACTCTCTTGTCGAATGGCGTAAACGATCTCGCTCATCTCTCGGGTAACTAGCGGGCTGTGTTCGTCACCGCCAGAATGGTATCGGGCCAGGGTTTGTCGTGCTTCATCTTGCCGCTCTTTGGCTACGAGCCATCTGATTACCATATTAGTGCTCATGAAGCTCTATGCAGGACTCAAAATGCATACCTGGGGGATTCGGGCAAGGCCCAAAAGAATGCAAGCTGCACCAGTGGATATCCAGCCTGCAAGATCGTCGGTATCCTCCAGCTCCAATTCCCCGAGTGGTTCTGAGTCCCAAACGTTGTCCACGCAGCCAAGATAGCACCGAGGTAGTACATAGTCCAGAAAGCACTTGTGTACTTGCCTCGGTGCGTAGGATAGGCCAGCTCGGCGATTAACATCGGGGAGGGTTGAACGACAAACATGCCCGCAGCGCCTACGACAGCTCGTGATACAACGAATTGCGCCAATGTTGTTGCTGTCGCTTGTATGATGGTCGCAATGATCACACCGATGAGACCGCTAAACAACACTATGCGTCGGCCGTAGCGATCAGAGAGTATCCCCACGAACGGCAGCACGACTACGGAGCCGGCAGACTGTGCTGCGTTGACCAGACCAAGAAGCGCTCCGGTGGGGTGGCCGAAGTATTCTTGCCATTGAGGGAGCGACTGGAGACCATTCATTAACGAGCCTGTTGAGTGTCAGCCATATTCATTCGTATCCAAAGGCGTGGCGAAGCTCTACTTACCATCGTATCCTGCCACAGCTGAAGACAATAGAGGCACCAACAAGATCAGGTTCAAGCGTCGCAAGTGCGGGATTTGGAACCAGTACTTGTTGGTCTGAGGCAGCACCTCCGCTATGGCATGCCCAACGATATCTGCGTCTTTCATGGTTGCAACCTCAACAACGGTGGATACAATAGTCGGGAGGAGTCTTCTGATCGATCAGCAAGAAAGCTTCAAACATCGGTCAACATCTTGGATATATATATACGGTCTAGCATAGCCCGGCTATGGGGTGTGCCCACAGCCGGCACATGGCTTTGTTACCCCAGGTTCTGCGCGTCGGTTCATGCTAGTGGAATGCGGGTTGCAGCGACGATCGGGATGGAATGGGGTGATGCGCGAGTCATGCCGGGTGGACGGTCGACTGTCACCCCAACGCTAACTGCGTCATATCAGCCTAGCCCGGGGAATCTCGTTACGGGGCACAGTCACCCATCGGGTGCCTGACACTCCAGACTCGTCTTTGCATCCCGCCGCGCCTGCATCTGCTTGATGGACGGCACTCTGTCCGCCTTTCGATTCATGGCGCTATTCAAGTCCCGCGTGGTCACGCGATATCCCGATGCCGAAGAGATGCGCAACTGTACTCCGCGCACCTGAACCTGTTTTGAGCGCATGGCTCTGTGGCAGTATGATAATGACAGAATTACTATTCGATATTGGCACATGGGGTTTCCACCATCGTCACGTGGGGATATGGCATGCAACATCTCGATTCCACTCACGTCCACTCTTATTGCACGCCCTCTATGATGACCTTGAAAACGCCCTCCTGCGCAGCCTTCACTAGCTCGAAAGCTTTCTCGGCATCCTCGAACTTGAACCTGTTCGTGATGAGTTTCTTCACATCAACCTTGCCTGAGGCCACCAAGTCTATCGCATTGGGGTAGCAGCCAACCGAGTAGCGGATTGAGCCCTTGATGGTCAAAGCACGGATACAAGCCGTCGTGATGGGGAAAACAACGTTCTAGCGTTTCTCATTAGCAACTGAATAGCGAGACACGGTTCAGGTGCAGACTTACTTCCTTGCCCATACCCGCCTGGACATACGTGCCGCCCTTCTTCGCCACATTGATGCCGGCCTGTATACACGGTTCAGCACCTGTGCATTCCAGGACGATGTCTGCACCCTCGCCCAGATTGAATTGCTCTTTGATGGCTGCAGCAATACTCTCCGAGTGCGCAACGGGGTCAGCTCCTTCCTGTGCCCTTGGAGGCAAGAACACGCCATCTGCCGCATATGCTTTGGCAAAATCCAGTCTTGCTTGGGAGATGTCGACAGCAATGACTTTTTTCGCGCCTGAAGATTTTGCGACTGCCTGCGAAAGTACTCCAATAGGCCCCGCGCCGAAGACGACCACCGTCTGGTTTGCGCGCAAATCCGCAACCTTGCATATCTGGACTGCGACGGAGACTGGTTCGACCATTGCTGCTTCTTCCATGTTCATATGGTCGGGGATCTTGTAACAGTAATCACTCGCAACAGTGTAGTACTTTGCGAGTGTTCCATCCCAAGGTGGCGTAGCGGCAAAAATGGTATCGTTGCAAAGATTGTATGAGCCAGATCGGCAGTAGTCGCATCGCCTGCAAGGCACACCAGGTTCGATGGCAACGCGATCTCCCACTTGGAGGTTCTTGACGGCTGAGCCAACCTCTACGACCGTTCCAGAGCTCTCATGACCAAGGATGATGGGGCTGTTCAGGACAAAGTCGCCGATGCGGCCGCGTTGCCAGTAGTGCACATCGCTGCCACAGATTCCTGTTTGCGCAACATGTACGCGGACTTCATGCTCGTCGCGTAGTTTAGGCACTTCGCGGTCCTCAAATGCGACATCTTTGATGGCACGAAGGACGAAGGCCGGGTTCTGGAGAACGAATCAGTTTCAGACTAGAGAAGCGCACTGCAGTCATCTCACCTTCTCAGTGGTGGTTATGGAAGACATGTTGTTTTCCGAATCGTCTGCAGCGCCTCATCGTGTTCGACCGCTCCATCTTGTACATCTGTGACCAGCACACTTGCACACAGGTCGGGTGTGACGAAGCGCAAGTGCGGGGATCGTGGGGTCAAGGGCAACCGTCAACCTGCGCGGGGTGTATCCCCAGTCCACTAAACGACATCACCCCTACCCACATGATGGAGGCATGTTTTCCGAGCAGGTACACCCACTCCGATAGCTATCGTCCGATAAAATCGAAATCGCCATGGCTCCCCGATTCGGTTGCGAACCTTTACTCTCATCGCCTCCTTCCTACTTTCCACCTTGATTTCCATCGCCCGCAATGCCTCTCGCACAACCCTCCAATCCCGACGAACATGTCACAGCCCAGTTCTCACTCAAAGGTAAGACCGCAGCCGTAACAGGCGGCGTCCGCGGAATCGGGCTAGCAGCCTCCAAAGCCCTCGCAGAAGCCGGCGCAAACGTCGCCATCCTATACTCCAGCACCAAAGACGCCGACGCCATCGCCTCGTCCATCGCCTCCGCAACAGGCGTGCGAGTACAAGCGTACAAAGCCTCCGTCGAGAACAAAGAAGAAATAACCCGCGTAATCAACACCATCGCAAAAGACTTCGGCGGCCTAGACATCGTCGTCGCAAACGCCGGCATCGCAACACACCACCCGGCCGAAGACTACACCGAAGACCAATGGCGCCACATCATGGCCGTAAACCTCGACGGCGCATTCTACACCGCGCAAGCCGCAGGCGTAATCTTCAAGCAGCAAGGCCACGGCAACCTCATCTTCACCGCTAGCGTATCCGCCATCCTCGTCAACGTCCCGCAGAAACAGGCAGCGTACAACGCGTCGAAAGCGGGTGTTGTGCAGCTAGCGCGCTGCTTGAGTGTCGAGTGGGTGGATTTTGCGCGTGTTAATTGTATTTCTCCGGGGTTTATTGCGACGGATATGCTGGATGTGCATCCGAAGGAGTGGAGGGAGAAGTGGATGGGTATGGTGCCTGCGGGGAGGCTGTGTGAGACGGGGGAGTTGAAGGGCGCGTATGTGTTTTTGGCGAGTGGGGCGAGTAGTTATATGAGTAAGTCTTCTCTCTTCTCTTTTCTATGTGGATATCAGGTTGCTGACATGCTCGAATAGCTGGGGCGAATTTAGTCATTGATGGGGGGTATACACTACCGTAGCTTCATCGTGAAGGCGAGCATCAAGAGAGTTTCAATCAATTTTGAGTCTGTTATTACGAGATGTATTATCAAAGATAGCCTGATTATACGTCACCGGCTTCATCCTCGTCATCGCTCTCCCATACTTTATTCCAAATTTTTTCGATATCTTTCCCCTCAATAATCTTCCTCGTGTGAGCGTCAACCCAAGCCATGCGCTCGTCAGCCGGGAGCCTACGATAAGCAGGCCAACTAATCTCTTCGCAAGCGGCGTAGATATAGATACCAAGCTCGAACTCCTTCTTTGACTGGAAAGCTTGCTGTCCAGTGTGAGTCTCATCCTCGTGTGAGGCAATACGCGCAATACCATACGCATGTCTCGCAAGGTAATCTTCTCTCTGCGCAAACCAATCCGTCACATCAAACCCAAACTGTTCTTGCGTAAAGTCAGCATAGTAATGCTCGCGGTTGGCGGTAGTGATTGCGATCACCGAGTGAAGAACATCGTCATTGTGGTCTGGGTCGGAACTGACATGGATTTTGGTATGTCGAGATGGGTAGATGATGACCCATTCTGCCGTTGCGCCTAGGGGTCGAAGCGCCTCTTGGATCCATGATAGGAAACAGAATGCACTCCTGTCGCATTGGTCGAGCTTCATAAGGGCTGTTTGCAGATCTTCAGGCACGCTCGATGGGAATGCTGCACGGCCTTTTGCGGTAGTCGGGTCTCCGTTTGGATCTGTTGCGATGTTGACATAGTAGTGGGTGACATCGCCTTTCCGAGCAGTAAAGAAGTTCTTCACGCAATCGTGTTCAACATTCTCTAGAACGGTCATCCAAATATGTCTGAAGGGCTCTATGATCGCTTTGATCTCGTCATGGTCTTTCAGAGTGGTTGGTTTGGTGTTAGCAGTTGTGCTTGCGGGTGTTAGTCCTACAGCTTTGAGAACCTTGTTCAAACCCTTTAGGCCCGACTTCATTGGTAACGATTTGCTGCGAGGGCGTTGAGGCATTTTTCGTTCCAGTTGCGGTTTTGATGGATATTGACTGCTTCGCTCGAGAGGGCAAAGATCGCTTGGAGATATGGGATGGCCATCACGGGTGAATTGGCACACTGATGATGAAGCTGTGTGAGCAGAACCTACATTGTGCATACACAAAGCTTCAGACGCCTTGTTCTAAGATAGATAGGGCTTGTTCAACATTGAACCCATTGCTCGAAGAGACAACGCTCGAAGAGACAACGCAATGGGAGAGCGACCTGTTCATGAATGGCGATGTGTGTAGGTAGGTGGTTGGGAGACTGGTCGTGACGATCAAACATAGTTGAAATGTTGCACTGTGTAGAAAGCGGTGAAACCTGCGTCAAGGAACGATAAATTGTCGGCATGATACATTGGACGAAGTCGACTGCATTACGGGGTGGGGAAGGTCCGGCCCGTGCGGACTTAGCGCGGGGTTAGCGTGCACCCTGAATCTCCTGCTCCTTGTCAGACACCCTTCCTTCTTCATCCTCAACACCACACCTCACATTCCTGCCAAGAGCAAACGACGAAAGCCGCGACACCGTCAGCATACAAGCATCCACTCCGCGAACGCAACATCCTCTCCTGCCTGCACAGCCACGATCGCGTCTGCACGGCTTGATTGGCAAACGATGCACGAGACCCACTCGTGATGCACGTTGCGGTCAGGCCACAGCTGTAAAGCCACTCACACACAGCCACGGGGCGCAAATTGGGGCTCGTACATGGCCGTACGCAACCTCCCCTGCCTTGGCGGTTGTCTACGCAGCTGCTCATGATCAGTGTGTAACCCGATGAATTACGTGGTTCGCCCAATTTGGCAATCTCGTGTAAACAGTCACCGCCTCCAAGCCGGCACTCGGCACGGCATCATAGGGAATTCAAGGGCAGACGGTAAGACTCAAGGGTGGCCATGGCTTTCTACCACCCCCATGGAGTTGCACAAGTGGTGGATCTGGACTACGCAATGCTTGTTGGCTTGGCAGATGGGTCACTGTGACTTCAACCGTCACCGTGGGGCTGCCGGTACTCGGCCGACGATCTTGCATAAAGCCCTCAGCTTTCTCCTCAAACTGTGGAGTTCTCATCAACCTCACTCTTCGTCTCACACACTTGAACACTTCCTAACCTCACTCAACTTCTTACATCAAGTCAGCTACCACCCAAACATCATCCAAAATGACTTTCTACCACACCGCTGAGGACATTCGCATCGAGGACAACCATGTGTTGAAGGCTCGTCTCCAGACCGCCGAAGGCGAGTGGAATGACGCCGAGATCGACCTCAACACCTGCATCGGCAACGACAACGGTAAGAATGACATTCTTCCTCAACCCGGTATTGGTATCGATACTGATCTGACCAGGCAACTTCCACTGGGATGGCGAGGGCTTTGCCAACTCTGCCGAGAACATCGAGTTCGCACTTGAGGGAGATGGCGACGTGCCCGTCCTCCGTGCCACCCTCTTCGACGCTGATGGCAACCCCGAGACTCGCGACATCAACTTGGGCGAGCGCATCGTCAACAACGACGGCAACTTCCACTACGGTATGCAGCAACCATCAGGCCGGTGATGCTCATCGCTAACCCGTTCATCAGAGTAAGGGATTTGCCTGGTAAGCCTTGTATAGGTCCCCGGTATCGGCAACCTGTGCTATGAGACACTTCAAAGGAGGACATGGGTTATGAGTGCACCGGAAAACTCCCCAGTGATATGAAATGACATACCAACTTCAACTATACCTATTCTCTCAGCTACCTCGTGATGGCTATGCTTCCACGATCAATTACTGTGGTACTTTTCTTCCATTTCCCATTCAGTTCTATTTACTCACAGGGTAGGCGATGTACGTATTCGGCCATTCACTGGTACTTTCTTCCAACTTCCCCAAGTACCTCTACACGTCCCGTGACCTTAAGTCGCGTTGTTGCCTAGTAGCTTCGACTCCACTATCAAGACTGAACAAAGTTCTGAAAGTAAGTTCTAGTTCTTGTGTCACTAGACAACGAGCCGAACGCACAAAATATCTGCTACTCAGCATTTACTCGTACTCGCATCGCTAAGTAAGACTCACTATGGCCGAATCCACGTCTCTCGCATCATGGAAACTCCACAACAGGTTCGTCGACATCGTTCGCAGCGACGCCAGTCCAATCTTGGACCTCATCCCCTCATACAACACCCTCGAGTTTGACTACAACGCGACCGAAAACACCGTCGCACTGCGTATGGGCGAATATGGCGACAGCGAAATCCTAGCCCATCCCAACGGCCCCGTATCCAAGCGCGTAGTCCGCGACTCTGAGATCCGCAAAGCAGGTACCGTCTTGGAAGTCAACAGGCCGATGAGTGGTCAGTTCAAAGCCGTCGCGCCGTTTGGCTGGAGCGAGACTATGCTGCAAGGTGTTACCACGCCGATGAGCGCGCCGGCACATGCGCTTGTGCTGATGTACATGCATATCTGGGTTCTTAAGACAAACAAGGGAGATGTTGAGTTGCCTATACCGAGGTATCAGAGTTTGTATGATGCACTAGTTTTGATTCGAAACGCGCTGGATACGGAGTTGGTATTGCCGGTTGGGCAGCGCAAGGTTCCCGCGGAGGTGTTGGCCGCCTATCAGAATGATGCTGTGGATGGGCAGCCAGTCGAGAAAGAAGATGTTGAAGATAAATAACATAACACTTGATTTGATTTCATAGGGCTAATACCGATGTGCCTCAGGACTTCGTTATATTCCCCTTGCTAAACGATGCGCAAAAAGAAACTGACGAGTTGGTATCAATTTATCCTCAGCAGATGCTGCGCCGCGTACTCTGATAGTACTTGCGCCCCTTCCAATCCAAGGCATACACATGCGTACAAAAGAAACAAACTGACGAAGAGGAAAGACAAACAAACGGAACATCTAAAGAGACGCCGTCTTCTTCTCACTTATCGACTTGACCTCAGTCTCAGTAATTGCCTCGTAAGGAACAGTGCGAACTACGTCATCCATAGCCGGTGTGTCCTTCCAGCGGAGGTCAGGCGAGTCCAAGAGCGCCATCCGGTTCTCCGCCTTCATGCGGTCTGCAGTAATTCTTTGCGGGTAGTTGCGCATGAACATGTTGGTGAAGTGGCTGCCGTAGTGGATGCCCTCGGTAGGCTCCTGACCGGCCTCGAAGCCAGGAAGCGGCTTCATGACGGCGGAGAAGTTGGGCTCGTGGAAGTAGGCGAAGGCGAAGCGCTCGCGGGTGTTGAGGCCGACCTTGTGGGGTGTTGAGGGGAGGAAGGAGTTGGTGATGTATTGCATCATGTCGCCCTGGAATGGTCGTTAGCAGAGCTTTACTCAGGAACGTGTGGTTTGGAGTGACTTACGGGGAAGACGGTGAAGACGTCGGGGGTGGGTGGGACGTAGACCCAGCCATCAGTGTCCTCGTGCTTGCCGGCTGCGGTCGTCTTCCAATTGGCATACTCCTCGCCCTCAATCGGGGGGCGGATGAACAGGCCACCCACGGCATCCTGGGCGGCGATGACAAGCAGACCGTAGTCGGTGTGCGAGCCGATACCGCGACCAGCTTTGCCCTTGCCGTTGGTCTTATCGGTCTGGGGGAAGCGCAGAACACGCATGTGGTGCCAGCCATCTTGCGTGTACCTGGTCAGGGCATTGCCGTCCTCCAATCCAAGACCCCAGGCGATGAGCGACAGCATCTTCTCGCCGCTCTCGCCAAGGTAGTCCATGTAGGCTTGCATGATAGTCTTCATCTGAGTGAACGGCCATGGGTTAGGACCGTGGCACGGCCACTTCTGCTGAACACGGGAATCAGTCTGTGCGAGCTCTTTGGTGACGGTGAAGATCTCGCTGTAGTCGGCGATGTTGTCTGTGATCTCCTCTCCCGAAGCGATGTAGCCAGCGAAAGACTGGTCATCCAAGCAAGCTGCCTTTTGCTTGTAGTCGAGGCCGAAGAACTTCTTGCTGCACAGGAACGCTGCATCGGCGAGCTTGCGGTTGATAGGATCCATGGAGATCTGGAGGATACCGTCTCTCTTCCAGGCATCAATCATGCTCTTGCCGAGCGCCTTGTCTGCTGCACTGCCACTGAGAGTCTCAGGCAGCTCGAATGTCTGGAGATTGCCGACAACGGCCTTGTGACCTGGTGGCATAGCGCCCATGGGGTGGTTGTATTGGGTAGCCTTGTAGTCAGCCATAGTTGCCAGCCTCCTGACCGAGCTCGCCTGCGAGTTTGATGTCCGGCAAAGGGCGCGGAACTTAGCCGGCCTGCTCATGATGGTGCGAGTAGACATCCTCGTGATGTTGTGATGTGTATTGTGACAGGAATGAGAATTTGTAATGACGAGACAGGGTTAAGAGGGGAGATTGTTTGAATGGAATGAGCTCGTTGTGACTGATGCTTCGAAAACATATCTTTCCCCCGGGCTTATATACACATGTCGACTGGCATTGCTCTAGCCCCGGAGACCAGCGGCAGCTGTGAGTGAGTTTACTATTCTGCATGAGCGGACGCTTGAGTTGGTCTTCGCAAAGTAACTCCGGACGGTGAAACTGCATTGTAGAATGTGTGCTCGGCTTAGAGACCACCGGAGGGTCTGGACTACGTTGCGGATGATTGTCCCGGCTCCCTAGAGTCGCCTACGTCGTTCCCCGGGGTCGGATCACGACCTGTTCTTCACCGTCCTCTGCTTACTATTCGTTGCAAGGCTGCCAGAAGGCCTTTGCGTACCTTGTCTCGTGTGTGTGATCGGGCCTTGTTCGAGAGATGTTGGTCCCAGATGAGGCAAACGCATTGACCAGGTAAGCTGGGAAGGGGTTAGAGGCGCCGTTTGAGATGCGGCTGTTGTACGACGAGCGATACGTCGCAACGAATATGAGGCTGGGATGCTTACATTTGGCCGACGTCACCCAGGAAGGACCGGGCTCGTGGGACTTGGTAGCACCATGTTTAGCGAACCTTATCTTGGCGTGCGCCACGCATTCACGTGGCATTCAACGGCCGCGCCCAACGTTTGTCCATGGTCGATCCCAGCCTGAGGTAGCACACATCGCAAAGGTTGTTTTCGCAGCTTTCGCATTCGTATTTTCCAGGCAGCGTTTTGCCGTAAACCTTGTGCCTGGCATCTTCGAGGCTTTCCAAGATTGAAATGTCCCGACTCGATTCGGAAATAGCGCACGGCCTCGTGTGCACCCTGTGCGAGCCTGACAAGCTTCACTGACAGCCCGGCGAGTCCCTACAAATTCCCCTCTCATCTTGCAGGAAATCGATGGTCTGGGGTCGAGAAATTCGATCGTCAATGCGGACGTTATCGCAATTGGTTCGCGTTTACCTAGAGATCGTCGCGGACGTTTCGTATCTACCTAGACAGGTACCTTAAGAAGGTATCAGTGTCATAGATGCTTTGATTTCGACTGAGAAAAGGCTACCTGCAACAGAACGAGATGATGCAACACAGCCCCAAGAGCAAACTCAGGATGAATTGGTCGGGCCGCGTTCGCAGCGTAGCAACTCGGCCTCATACTCGGATGATGACAGAACGTCGAAACGCTGGATACTAATCCAATGCCTGCAGCGCCACACGGCCTTGGAAGTGTCTAGATGGTAGAAGCCGGCTTACATAGTATTTCCGGTTGCAACGGCGGTTGTGGTTTCCACCACTCTTCGACGGATGCAACGGCTCGGAACTGCTGACTTCCCTACCTACCGCTTCCGGTCTGCTGAAAGTATGCGCAATTCGGCGACACTCGAAACTGATATCGTGGTACTTAGATCGAGGCCCTCGGCGCCAGCGAGAGTCTTGCCGTTGCTCTCTACCGTGAACAAGGTATACGGGAAGGCTTCCGTCCCTCCGCAATCGCAATTCTTAATATAGGTTGGTGCGGATCACCCTGGTCGATCAAAACCCACGTGGTGTCTTCGCGGGGGTCACGAAAGATTGTGCTCCGGCGTTTGAGCGTTCGCGCACGAAGGAAGTACTGGTGCAGTAGCGACGTTAAAGAGAAAAGAGAGTAAGGCAAGAGGACCATAAGGTGAAGAGAATAAGCAGTAGTGCAGGGAAACGTATTCAAGGGTCTTTGTGAAATATGCCGACCTACCACTAGGTCACGCATGTCGACCAGCATTGCCCACAAGATACAAGATAAGGGCTGCGAACAATGTATTGCAACAGCTAATAAGAACAAAGAATATCTACAAGAATGTATGGGGTGCCGATCGGCTGCCTACTCGGAGCAGCACTCACGCTGGACACATGCTTAGTTCTTGCCAGTCTTGGCCTTGAGCCAAGCGACGAACTGGGCGATGGTGAACTCCTCGGGGAGAACAGCGTCAGAGCCAGCGCTGCCAGTGGGCTTAGCTACGGGAGCGGCAGATGAGGTAGAAGAGGCGACAGGAGTCTCAACAGGAGCAGCGCTAGTAGCGGCGGCAGAAGAGGACGCAGCCGGGGTCTTGATTGGGGCAGCAACCGAAGAAGCAGCAGCAGCGGATGAAGAGACTACGGCGCTCGAAGAAGCAGCAGGAGTCTCGGCGGCAGCGACGGATGAGCTAGCAGCCGCCTTGGAGGAAGTAGCAGCAGGCGCAGCAGAAGAAACAACCTTGGACATGGTAGTGGGGACAGGCTTCTCGGGAGCCGCACCCGCAGCTCCACCACCAATCTTGGTGGTAAGCTCTCCGTCCTCAATGTATACACCGCTGAAGAACCAATCCTCAGCACCGTCCTTGTCGGCCTGACCGGGCAGCCTCAGAACACCAAGATGCCAGTCCTTACCGTCGGAAGAGGTGCTCGCATCGAAGGGTCCGGCCGTCTGCTTCAACTCATCGCTGCCGGTCGAGTGCCAGAAGGCGACGGAGCCGGCATCGAAGTCGATCTCGTAGGCAACGTTGTGCCACTCGTCGGCAACGAGCTCAACGTCCCACTTGGAGACACCTCCAACGTGCCATTGAAGGTTGGTGTTGGACGAGCCCGAAGCGCCGTACTTGAGCTCAGTGAAATGAGACTCGAAGAAAGCGATCTGGTGTTCGTTGGTGGCCGTCGGGGCGTTCTCGGCAGCAGTCTTGATGGAGAAGTGGTAGTAGACCTTGCCCTTGTTGATGGCTGCCTTGGTCTCGGGGATGAGTTCGGTGCGCAGCATGGTCTGGCCGTTCCATTTCGCGGTCTCGTCAATGGTGATCTTGACACCCTGCTTGGAAGCAGTGTCGGCGGGGTTCTTGAAGGTGGTGTCAAGGTTGACGTAGTCGGCCACGGCGCCGGAGCCGTGGATGTAGTACTGGTAGGCGCCGACGGGGTTGGAGAAGGACCACTTGGCGATGTCGGCAGAGGAGGCATAGTCGTTGAAGCGACCGTCCCAGATCATCTCTGAATGCGCATTTAGTATCTGTCGGACAACTGGAGGATATAGATAACTTACCGGCAGACGCAGCGCTGAGCATCGCGCTCATGAGAGTAGTCTTGGCAAACATCTTGAAGTTATTTGTTCGAAGGTAAAAAAACAGAGACCGGCCTGTATGTTGATGGAAAAGCGAATGTAAATGCTACGAAAGCAAGGAATGAATGACAGTAGTGAGCGAATGAACAACACGAACAAACCAGCAGGAAGAGATGCAGCAGACCATATAAGAAGGCTGCTTGACTCAACGCATACACCTGCAAATCATTACTCGGCATCTAGACGGCGTGAACGCATCGCATGTCAATATTTTGGAAACGCGCGCACCCATATTGAGTATCGCGCGAGCGGTACACGCAGGAATGAACAGTTCTGACAGGACGCCGAGGGCTTGACAGCCGTTTGGTGGTGGAAATTCCGCTATGAAACGTTCGCGTCGGCAACACCAAGCCCGAATCGGCCTTAGTCTGTCCTGCACGATGCCTCACCGAGACTAGCGCGAGCGGCTTGGTGATGAAGGATTCATGAAACGCTCCCTGCTCATAGAAGCTTGTTTCATGGTGATACGCGAGGCCGAGATGGAGATTGGGTGATGCCGAGGCGGAGATTAGTTCGTTGTCTGCTTGGAGCTGCATATTGCTGTCAAAATGCCCTCGAGTTATAAATTAGTTCTGGAGGGTCTGAAGCTGCGACGCAAACTAAGAGAATACGTAGTGCGGGAGACATGATGTTAACGAATGTGCCGCTCAATACAGAACATTGTTGATTGCGACATGTGATCCACCAATGAGGCAAAAGAAAGACCGTGCGTGATCCTCATGAAATCGTGTGCTGTCGTCCACCAGCTGTTTTTCCTCCCATATGTTGTGAGTTCATGCTCGCTCGTGAGGACCGTCGTCATTACGTACGCCGTCTAGGCTGTTTCTCTGTACCTCTAGTGCAACGTTGGCGTCGTCGCCGAAAGGGTCGCGTGCCTCCAGTTCAGCCGGTGGTTGGGGTAACTCATGCACTGGCTTCGAATCAAGCTCGTTCTGAGCCGCCTGGGCATCTAGTTCGTTGTACCATCTACGCTGACTCTTGCCGCCGTCTTGGTCTTCCATTTCCGGTATGACAACATCGTTCGCAGCACGTTCCCGACGGCGTCGTAGACACCAGAAAATCGTCAAGCTTCCAACGAAAGCAGCAGCAACTGCGACCCCTATGCCAATGCCTACTTGGGTACCGGTACCAAGTCTATTGGGTGATGATGGTGATGATGCGGGTGCGGTCGTTGGCTTCAATGCGTTTGTTGGCGCCAATCCGTTGATGACTGTCGGTGTGGATGTGCCGGCTGGCGCGGGTACGCTGTACCTCGCAACCAAAGACTTGACGTACTCGCTCGGAAATGTGCCAACGTCATCTATCTGCCAGTTCACTATGACGGGATCAGCCACGGCTAGACCCGTTGCAAGCGTGCTGATGTCTGATATGACCGATGTCTCACGCACGCCTCCGCTTGGCTCATATGTGGTTGTATTTCTTTGTTGAATGTGCTGGTGCAGAAATGCGGGCACAACGCGGTTGAGTAACACAGTATATACTATGTGGTTGTATAATCGTATACTGGTATGACTTCTTACCCATCAAACGCAAGCGCTGTTATGATTGCAGCATAAGCACGGAAGGGTGTCGAAAAACTAGACAAGCAGACATCGGGGTATGCGGAGCCAAAGGTCATACCGCTGATCACTATTCGTCAGCTAAAACATCGAGATTGGGGTAGTGGTAGCATTATACCTTCTGCAACAGCTCGCTTGCCAGAAAGTCCGGGTTCCACTCGGCACACTGCTTTCGTATGTGGTCACCTCCGCGATGGTTTGCCCACTGGGACAGATTCCTGGACTGTATGTGGGTGTTCCATAGAGCTGACATCCGTTGTACGATGCGTCGGAGACGATCGAACGTGTCGGATTTACAGACCAGACGGTTTCACCGGTGCTGCTTCCACCGTCACAGCTTTGTGAAGGACGCAGCACCCATCTATCGACACATGACGAGGCTGGGGTGTGTATCGTCGTTAAGTCCGGGACGTTCGGATGTTCCAGAGTCGTTAGCGTTCCAAAGGGGGTTACAAACACCTCACTGTGCGACCAATACAGCTCTCTTTTCACGACTCCTGGTGCCGTTGGTTTGCGCACGATCGCAGTGCAGATCGCAGGTGAAGTTGTAATGTAGGTATTGTTACCTTGTATTATTGGCATGTTTGCCTTTACCCAAAAGCCTGGTAATAGTAGCAGTATGTAGTAGAGATTGAGCGCGAGAAAGTCAAGGCAAAGATGGGACAGCCTTGACGCCAGAAAGGCTAGGAGACTATGGGAAAGCCTGACTTTTGAGCATCTCCACGAACAAGGCTGAAAGACGCCCCAATCTCAAGCTGACATGGCGATCATCCAACCGGCCATTGCAGATGCGCGACTATATTTGGCTATCAATATCTGGGCGTGTATGTCGCGATTGGCCATGAGCACGCTGACTCGCAGCAACCTCATCAAGACGATATAACCGGTAAGATCGACTATGGCCTGTTGAGGTAACTGCGTCTCTTTCTAGAAAGGATAGTGTAACGAGGAAGATGTCTTCTCCTCGCAAGGCACATGGTTCGTGCTCGAAACCGGCAAAGTAGCAATTGATTGATATCATCCCTGACTCTTGGCCTCATCGGGTGCCATGCGGGCGCTGTGGTCGGCATTACGTCTGGTATCATTTGGTGTATATCGCGATATGAAGGGAGGTCTATGAGATGTTTCCAGGGTTGTGTGGAGACGAAGATGATGCATGACCCTGCGGATGGCAGAGCTCGGTGGCTGCCAAGGTGGGAAGCGACGTCATCGTACTTGGCGCAGATATTCCACGAACGGGTCATGACAGCAACTGTCATCTGGAATGATTTCCTCGATGGAAATCACGAAACAACGAACATGTCCGCGATGGAGGTTGATGATGGAGAGACGAAATTCATGAGCCTGAAGCGATCTCTAGGTACCTGGGTATCGCGGGATCGGCGCTATTTTCGGCCAGCGGCATGCGGCTGATCCACACGACCGGCCTAGGCACTCAGATCGAATTCCACTTTTCCAAGCGCACCCAGAATCCCATGACAGCGTTCCACATGGCTGAGACGAGGGCAACGTTTGTCACGACATCATCTTCAATAGTGGCTGCGCAAGAGGAGGATAGACGGCCACATGCAACGCCAAGAGTCGGCCTATCATGACGGCCTTGCCTGCACGCGAGAAGCGACCCCTCGAACCAACTCAGAATGGCACGTCATCCCTGCGTCGCATCGGCATGCTGGACTTGCTGGACCAAGATCCACGACCTACATTCGTTATCGATACATCGCCAGGTAGCCCAAAGTCCGAAAATGGATGCCATTTGGAGTATTGGAATTCGGCCATGGCCGCCACCGACCCTGGAGGGCTACTGCAACTACTAAGCCGAGATGGTGGTGCGTACTCTGCTAATGAAGAAGGCTATGCCCCATTTACAAAATTTCGAAGCTGGTCTTTGACACACGACACATCGGAGAAGCCGTTCCTTTATCATGGGTTCAACTGGATGAAGATCCATGTGGCTGGCCGCTGGAATGTCATAAGCGGTCTCTTGGCGACCACATGCACCGGCAGTGAGGGCTCTGGAATGACCACTCTCAATCGAAAAACTTCTAAATCGAAAGTACCAAACTTCGATTGGACGGATGAACTTCCTCCTCTGCGGTTGTCACGACATGCAGCCTGGGCGCGCAGCATTGACTGGGCCTCCACTCCTCTTGGCCCAATGTCTTCCTGGTCGTCACAGCTACGCAGTATTGCCAATCTTGTCATGCAAGATCCACGGCCAGCAGTCGTTTTCTACGGTCCGGATCTGATCATGATCTACAACGAAGCAGAGATAGAGCTGTTGGGCGGCTTCCACCCTTGCATGGGAGTCAGCGCTCGCGTCGCGCTTGCTTCAGTTTGGGACCAGTATTTTGAACCCATAATACAAACCAACCTCGCAGGAGAAACCGTGGAAAAGACGAACACCACGATACACATGGTACGCAGCGGCTTCATGGAAGAGACGTACTTCTCCTTAAAGTTCATACCCATATTAGATGCTGAGGGTATCACAGTTGGGCATTATGAGCCCCTGGTAGAAACGGTATGTTGCAACTCTTGCACTTCCAGCGCATATTTTGGGCACCTGCTCTTCCAGTGGCGCATCTGACGCTACGTACGGATGAGGATGGTACTCACGAGAGCATGGATACTTGCACTAGTATGCCGTCGCAACTCATGGGAGCCATTTTTGAAGCTGCGAAGCCATTTGTGCAATCCGCTGACAGCCGTATAGACTAGACAGGTCATTGCACAAAGACGCTCGCGCGTTCTCCTAGAGCTGAGCGAAGAGATACCCAGGGCTCGCAATACGGATACTTACTGGGTTCTCGCCACCGAAGTTCTATCCCGCAACGATAAAGATATTCCGTTCGCATTATTGTACTCAGCTGAAGCAGATGGACATGGGTCCGAGTCAAGTAGGACGCGCTTTTCCGACACGAACCAACAACACTGCAAGCTTCGTGGCTCATTCGGTCTGCCTAAAGGGTCGCCCGCAGGTCCCGATCATCTGGACTTCCAACAAGACCATGGCTTTACTCCATACTTCCGCCAAGCCCTTACTGCCCGAAAGCCGATCATAATTCGGTTCGACCAGGATCCTGTGGCGGCAGCGTTGGTCAAGGACGTTGAGTGGCAGGGCTTCGGTGATCCCTGCCGAGCGGCAGCCATCTGCCCTCTAAACCCGACTTCTTCGAAAGACAACATCCTTGGCTTCATGGTCATTGGGCTTAATCCCCGTCGGCCATTTGACGAAGATTATCTCCAGTTCATACTGGTCGCCAGTCGCCTGCTTTCTACCTGCTTAACATCAATTTTACTCCATGAAGAGGACATTGGACGTCGAGAGCGGACTATTGCAAACGCGGAAGCAATGAAATCGCAGCTAAAGGAGCAGTTGACTCTGTCTCAAGCGGAGTCTGAGCGCAACTTCTCCAAGTTCAAACGCTTCGCAGAGCGTGCCGATATTGGCATCTTTCTCATAGGAATGGACGGGGTCTATTCGTATAGGAACGAAGCTTGGTTTGAGATGCTTGGTCCAGTGGATCCTGCAACCGATCTCGCTGACGCGTGGAGTAAGCTTATCGACGATGACTTCGTTGAAATGGGACAAGCAAAGTTTGAGGAACTTGTCGAGACCAAACAGCATCAGTAAGTGATGGGTCCGTCATGACGTGCGACAAAGCTTACTATGACCAGATCATTTGAGTTGCGTCTCAAGAAGAGGTGGAATGCGCCTACCCAGCATATGGATGATACATTCCCCGAACAGGAGCCAATGTGGGTCATCACATCCATCTTCCCTGAGCTCGATGAAAATGGAGAAGTAGTAGAGATCATCGGTTGTTGTACCGACATCAGGTACGTCATTCCTTCATCTCGCTATGCTTAACTAAAGGCTTTGAACAGTCAGCAGAAATGGGGAGAGAAACTTCAGGCTACCCAGGCGACGAGGGCCCGAGAATCTAAGCGCAGTCTAGAAAACTTCATCGACACGACATCACACGAGATGCGAAATCCTCTGTCCGCGATCGTCCAGTGTGCAGATAGTATCATCTCGGCTCACAGGAACTTCAGCAAGTCGACAGATTATCAGAAGGTCTACCAGACTATATTGGAGCATACCGTTGACGCTGCCGAAACCATTGTCCAGTGCTCGAAGCACATGAAGACTATCGTGGACGACGTGCTTACCATGTCTAAACTGGACTCAGGTCTATTTGTAATGACCCCAGTCGATGTCAAATTCGACTCCATCGCGAGAGACGCGGTGAAGATGTTCGAAGGTGAAGCCAAGTCAGCTGGTGTGGATTTGCGATTCCAGCTCGAAGAGTCATGCAAAAAGATCGCGGTTGATCTTGTTTCGCTAGACCCTACAAGGGTCTTACAAATACTTATCGTAAGTACGTGAGACATACTGAGGTGCTTCGGCTGACAAGTAAGAACCTTATCACCAATGCAATCAAATTCACCCGACTAGAAGAGATACGCGAGATCAGGGTCAGTCTGGGCGTCTCCCTGAAGCAGCCGACCCACAGTTTCAGCGTGCCATTCTCCCGTAGTTCGGAAACATCAGAAGCAGCGACTCTGCAAGCAGACTGGGAGAAGGGCGAGATAGTAAGCTGTTGTTGAAGGCGATATCTCTGGTCTTCCACTAACGCAAAAAGGTCTACATCATCTTCTCCGTGCAGGACACGGGTCGTGGCTTGAGCGACGAAGAACATCAGCTCCTTTTCGCACGCTTTTCGCAAGCGTCTCCGCGTACACATATCGACTATGGTGATTATAAACCTCAAAGGCAATTAACGACTTGCTGACGTATTCTAGGTGGCTCCGGTCTGGGTCTCTTCATCTCACGAAAGCTTACTGAGATGCACGGCGGCGCTATCGGCTTCGCATCTAAAGCCGGCGTCGGAAGCACATTTTCCTTCTACGTGAAGAGTCGTAGAAGCACTATTCGCCCCAACTTTAACCGTTCGGAAAGCGATGCGGCCGTTAGCTTGAGCATACGTGCGCAAAAAACGCTGCTTTCGAGTCGATCGCGCAACGAATCGGACGAACCACCCCAAGCCTCCGCTCCTGCGAACGACATACCCAACAAAGACCTGCACGTCCTCATCGTCGAAGACAACCTCGTAAACCAGCGCGTCCTGGCCAAGCAGCTACGGAACACGGGTATGCAGGTCGCAGTCGCAAATCATGGTGGAGAAGCTCTTGACTATCTGCGCACAACAAAGTACTGCATCTCCGATGGCTCTGGAAAGTCACTCGCACTCATCCTCATGGACTGGGAGATGCCTGTCATGGATGGTTTGACATGCGTTAGGAATATCAGAGAGCTTCAGAAAGAAGGCGTTGTTAGAGCGCACGTGCCGGTCATCGCAGTGACGGCTAATGTGAGGAGCGAGCAGGTAGAAGTGGCGTTGAAGGCGGGAATGGACGATGTGATAAGCAAACCATTTAGGATACCGGAGCTTTGTGCTTGTATACAGAAGACGTTGAGGAATACGGCTAGGTCATAGTCGTAGTGATTTGGAATAGGAATTACTACTTCCAAAAGTCGTTTGAAGCCAATGAACGATCAGGCCAGCATGTCATCAAAGGTCGCACCGCCACCGCGTAATGAACGCAACTTCGAACTGATGGCATGCCTTTCGTCTAGTTCTGGAGAGTGCAAAAGAATCGGTGAGGCGATAATGGATGCTTCCAACGGAAAGGCTATCCGACGGAAACGGCAAACATCACGTCTTGCTAGCGCCCGCGAGACATTCGCAACCGGCCCTCCGCACAACCACTCCGCAAATGTATTCCGAGTCTGTGCATTCACATGCTCAGCGCATCAACAACGATCTCGCCATCAATCGCGAATCCACGTGCGTCATCGCGAACATTCCAGCTCACACAACCAAGCTTCGTTGAGCCGCACGCCCTACATACCTAGGTAGGGCGCGGCCGAACTAACCACCAATCCCTCTCTTTCTTCCAGGCACGACGAAACATGCAATTTTGCGCAAACAGCGACTATGACACACGAAATAGCCTTTAGAGGTAACTCGTGTGTCAAAGTCAAGAACGTGATGGTTGTCGCAGTGGGACCCTGCGGTATAAAAAGTCTGTTGAGGCTGAGCCGACGCCAGCCGCCAACGCCTCTCATCACGTTCTCCTGAGAGCCTCGCGGGAGCTAAGCGGTTAACGGAGATCATGCCATGTGCATTAGCTATTTCTAGTATCATTCGGATCTGAAGAGGTTTAGTCAGGGCAGATGCGAAGGGTATTATGATGACGTCTTCCGGCGTGCGTCCTGTGGCTTCTAGACACTCGGTGGTAACCAGCGCGAGGCGATGCTACCTTGCTAGACCCACATGTGCGACCTTTGCGAAAAATCAGTCACGGTGCACGTGGAGTGTGTGTGTCCAAGATCTCACGATTGTTTGGCTGGTGGTGGGAAAGGGTGGAAAATTTCTTCGTGGTGCCATGGGGTATATAAGGGGTGGGGAGGTGGGTTTGGTGGAGGAGCATCAGCATCAAGTCATCATCAAGTCTACTACTACACTTCAACCTTCAACTTCAATACCACCAAACACCCATACATCTTCGGTATCTTCAAACCAACAAACAAATCCACCAACCACCAAAATGAACAACTTCGACTGCCACCCGCGCGTTCTATCGCTCTCCTCCGCCTCAACCCCATCATCTTCCATCCCCACAACACCCTTCTCGCAGTCTCGCCGCCAATCGCACGAGTCAGCACACGATGCCCACCACTTCGTCAACCAAGAAGAGAAGACTCAGCACAAGCTCAACCTCAGCATCAAGAAGATGTGGGAAGGCGTCAAGAGGCACGCTGTTGAGCACCACAAGAGCGTCAACGCTGCGTACATGGCTAGCTATGGATGCGGTACTGCAACTGCAGCGAACACTACTGGCGGAAAGGCGTTGTAGATGGGGATGAGTAGAACGAGGGGAGGAGAAGATACGGACAAAGACTGAGTAAGAGGAGGAGGAGGATACAAACGACGATACGACGACGACCAAAAAGTGGATTTCGAGCGACAAAAGTGGAATTTCTGGTGCATTATACCCCGACGAACGATTTGTGGCGCCGAGGAGGAGCTGGGACAGTGGCTTGGATACTGTCGTAATATCTAATAATATACGTGGAAGAGTTTGTTCAGTGTCGCGTTGCTCTTGCCAATGTCTATGTGATAGCTGAAGCGAATGAAACTAAGTGTAAACTCCACTGATCATATACAAACGCCCACGCACTCTAGAATATAATGAAAGAGATAGTATATGAGATCTCTTTAGTACTCATCGTCCGACTCTTCCTCAGCGTCTGTTTCTTCCTCGTCCACTTCACTACTCTCCCGTTCAGTCTCGTCTTCATCCTCATCCATTACAACACCCATTTCTCTTCGCCCCGCCGCCTACAGTGTTTTGTCTTCCTCTTTCAACTCCTTCGCAGTTCTGCGCATTGTCGGAATGAGAACGTCGATGACGAAGTCCTGGAGCTGTCCACCGAAAGAGTCGTATTGAGAGATGAGCTCGGGTACAAGCTCTTCCAGTCGTGCGCGTAGATGCGCGTCCTCGTTGGTGATGCGCCGTAATTTCGTTGGAGGATACCGAGGGTATGGTTGCTCGGAAGAATCAGGATTGCCCCGGTACCGGCTGATGCGAGTGATGTCGCAGCATGTGTGTTGTATCTCTAGATATGAGAACACGAAGAGGCGGATGTAATCATGAATGAGGCGAGAGAGACCGAGTGTGTTTGCCGCTCTGTCAACCCACAGGGTCAGATCGAGGAATGTCCCCGTGAAGAGCTCATATCGTGACTCGACATAGTCGTCAATTGCATACACCCTGAGCTTTCCCAACTCTCTCGCTGAAAGTGTGTTCTTGAATCGATCGCAGAGGAGAGGAAACTGCGGACAATAGCAATCTGCCGCATACATCTCCTTCCAAAAGCAAGGGAGAAAGTCGCACCCGGACCTGCTACATCCACATTCGCATTGGTCAAGGATCTCCTCCTTTACAAGAAATTCATAATCTTCGTACGTCCAGAATTCCTCCATGAGAGGAGAATCATCGTAAGATGATCTAAAGACTTGGTTGCTCAGACATTCAGCAGATTGCCATGCCAGACAATGTAAAGCGGTAATAGCCGTTCCTGGCCACGTCTCTCTCAAATTCGCGCCTCTTGAGAGAAACCATCGGACTGTCAGACTACGCTCTGTCAAACACATTGACCATATTGACCCAGTACCCCCCATTACTTGCGTGGCCAGATACACCAACGGCGAGCAGGATGTCTCCTTATCACACTTGAAGTTCTCTTGACTGATATCGCAAATGCCAGCTAGTTCCAAAGACTCGAATAGTAGGAGTTTGTCGGACATCCACATTTGTGGCATGTAATAAAGGCTTTTCCGTTGTGGCCAATACCGTTGGGGTACGTGAATTCCAGCGGTCACTAGTGCACTGAGAATACAGACCACATGTGCATCTGGAAAGCCTGTCCGAGCGCGTTCACAACAATGTGGAATGTTATGCTTTTCCATCAGTAGCTTGACCTCGTGTCGTTGCTTGAGGAGATAACTTGATACGAGCGGGATAACGTCAGTACCGGGAGTTCCTTGGTCAAAGATCCAATGGAAATGAAGCGCGTCCTCGAAGTGACCAATTAATTTGAGCAGTGGTCCATCGTGCGTCTCCCTTTGTGACAACCAAAATTGCAACATGTCCGGTTGATTTGTAGCGGCTGAGAGCATGAGTAAAGTTTGACCGGAGTACCGCAATTCAAAGTCAGGGTCTTCCAGATATCCAACCAAGTTAGCATTGAGCAGGACTCTGCAACCATCCATCCAACCAGTAACGGTAGACATGATCAGGGCATTGACGATCGTGTCGGCATCTAGAGCGTACAAGTACTTGGGTTGATGGAAGAACTCCTGGAGTTGACGGTCCGATTTCACGACAATCGCCTCTAGTAACTCGCTGTCATCTAGTAATGGGCTGGTGAAACTTTCGTAGCGGACCTGGGCCAAGACCGCTAACCCCTCTTGGCTGGCGAACGCTGCTCTCATGAAGATACTCCTAGTCATCTGCAGATCTTGTTCAAATAGAGATCTTAGAAGACTCGTGTGGAAGCCCATAAACTGCCGAGAGGCGTGATATGAAAGCAACCTGTCGATACATGTACTGTCTACGCTTAGCGTTTTTGGCATTTTGAGATGGTACGACAGAACCACGAAGTGATAGTAAGGCTCATGTAGGATAAGAATCAATGTAGACTTACAGCCCATCATCGTCTCTCTCGAAAGCTTCATTTGGCATTGTTGAAAGGAGAGTTTTGAACAGATAAGCAAGGTTCTCAGAAGTATCGGCACAGCTTTCGACACGTGATAAACTGGCAACGCTGTGACAAAATTGCTATATTGGTGGTCAGCTTTCATTGCGTATGGATAGGGGCTGTATACGTGCATGTAGAAGCGTCCATCCATTTGGTAGTCGATCGTGTGGTGACGCTTGTTTCAGCTGGAACATCCTAGTCAATTTCTCGACCTCGCCCCGAAAACTGTTCATTGGCATGTTCATACTAGACTTGACAAGTGTTCTGGCAAAGTAGAAAGCAGGAGACCATTCAACAACGCGATGGCACTCCAGATTCTGCTTGACCGACAATCCAGCGCCATAAGATAGTTGAAAAGACAGCAAGACTTTCTTCCTGAGAAGAAGACTACACAGTGTAGCTTGAAGCTGCAGATCCGTCATCGCGTTCTGAAGTGGAGCTTGAGGACACCCGGGGTCGTGCATGCTGGTTCGTGCGTATGTGATGGCCAACCTTCTCGTTTGGTAGCCAAGCGCTGAGGTTTGCGGCCGGCATGTACATGAGAGTTTTCCGTATCGTTGTTTCAGTCTTCGGTCTTTTCGGTGGAGCGATCTCATGTTAATGATATCAGTATCCAGCGTAGAGTCCGTCATGAGCGATATCTCGTCGAGCTTTGCTTGTAAACTGTGTATACCGGTATGGAGATTCTGTAAGCTGTGTGACGTGGCCAAAAACCCCGTTTCGACAATGTGTGAGTGTCCAGCGAGCTGAAAACTTGTGCTATTAAAGCCATCGCACTGCAGTTGTAGGCTGGCGTAGTGTTGCGCACTTTGTTCCATGGACAGCTGCATGAAGCGTGCCTGAACATCTTCAAAAGCCAAGCGCTGTTGATCAATGAGAAGGGCAGATAGTGCAGTCTGCAAGCTTTGCTGCACCGTGTTCAGAACGTCCTTCCAGTATCTGATCTCAGCCTCTTTGAATGGGAAGGCCAGTCGCTTGGTCAGCCTCTTCAAACTTGACTTCATTCCGCCGTTCACTGCTTCGTCATCCGGTTTGAGTTTCTTGCGAATAGTGGCAATGGCATGCGCACACGACACGATGCCGGTACGAGTCGCCGACACTGAGTTGGACTGATCCACTTTGCTAATGGTAGATTCGAGCAATTCGAGAAGGTTTGCAAGTTGTTCAGTTTCCGCCGTAATCTGTTCAGCCTTGTTCTTCGCTTCCTTGACGCCACTGAGGTACCATTCGAGGCCTTTGCAAACCTGGATGGCAAGGGAAACGACACCGACGGCGCTGCCGGTGATGGAAAATGGATCTGCCATCGCAGACCTCGATGCGTTGACTGTGGTTCAGTGTAGGGAGAGAGGTAAAGGGAAACATGTGAGAAGAGCGGGGCGGATGGGAAGGCTGAGGTTCAGGCGCAGCGCATGCAGGCCAGGCTGGCGATGGGCAACCAGTCAGAACGATCTTACACCCACCGGTGCAGGAAACATATGCAGCCACCTTGTCGTATGATTTATTCCTCCTGGGGTGGTGTATTACGTGGATTGACATTGGCCAGGCTGTGAGTTGCCCAACCATTCATAGTGACCACCCACTCATCAGGCAAGACGCATGTACAGCCACTTTGTCGTATGGTGTATTTATCCCGCGCCGATGTACTGCATGAACTAACATCGACCAATAAACATAATGTGCGCATGTATTCCAATATGCCCTATGTGCCTATGTTAACGAGAAAGAAAAGAGGCTTAATGCTGCGCAGCCAGCGATCTATGCTCCTTGTTCAGACGCGATGGATCCTCGTCGTCGTCGTCTGAGTCAAGACCTTCCAGTTCAAACTCCTCGGCGTCTCTCACTCTACGATCGACCCTTGTGTATCCGTTGATGTGTCCGTTCGCGTGACCGTTCGTGAGGGGCGCTTCGGCGTCGGCTTTGTCGTCTTGTTCCCAAGTGTATACGGCGTAGAGGTGGATGAGCATGTTGACGACTAGACACGAATTAGCTTGAGATAGTGGTGAGCTACATGGGGAAACTTACAAAGGAATAGCAAGAAAGCGATGCTGTAGAGAATAAGCACGTAGGATACGTGCGTGACGTTCGCATCGGATAGCAGCTTCATCTGCTCTTCGGTGGCGCCCATAAACATGAAACCTCCAGCCATTAGCAGGAATGGTGTCAGGTACTGGAAACTGTTCGGGTCTGAGCCATCGGTCGCGACAGAAGCGCGGTCCTTGAGCACAAACGAGATCTCGATGATGCGTGCGGCACCGGCGGCCATGAGGGTGTAGCCGAAGATGGTGTGAATCATAGTCGAGATTGGCAGATGTTGCGGGTGCGCAGACATGGCCCATCCGGTCATCAGGATGATGATACCAGGGATGAGGTTGCGCTTCGGTTGTCCATTGCGCTTGCGGCTGAGCCAGACACCGACCAAGCCCGCAGCCCACCATACGATGCCCATAGATGTGTGCTGAAGGTCGTTGTGTACCCACGGTCCTCCCCAGCGGTGTTCGGTGAACGTGTTGACGCAACCCCAGGCGGCGATGACGAGCGAGTCGAAAAACTCCTGGCTCCTTCCGGTCCTCCGCAGCCACATCTGTCCTACCAGAAGTAGGATAAGGAGAATGATGCCGTATGCGATGAAGGCGCTGCCCATAATGAAGTGCGCCAGACATTGTCCGGTGTGGTCCGCTCTGCAGAAGCCGAGTGCAGTAATTCCTCCAAAGAGGAACTGCACCCAGGTGACCACTGGCATAGCCTTTCCAACAACACCGTGCGCCTTCACTACCACGCGCCGTATCTTCCCATTGATGCCCTTCTCCAGGTGTAGCTTCAGGTAGATGCCCATGGCGACTTGGGACACCAGCATGAGCATGATGACAGGGACAAACTGGCTGTGGATGTTGTCGGTGAACTGCCTGCCCCTGTGTCTATGGCCGAGGAAGTATCCGATGATTGCGAGGACGGTTCCGAGGGATTGTACCGGGACGTGCCATTTCGATCGTATTATCTAGCCTTGCTGTCAGCTCATGCTCTTCAGTCTCAATATGAAGCAGCTTACTCCTAATACCATACCCGTGGGGAAGATGATGCCCCATGCCACCGTTTGGATCAAGATGTGCGTCCATAGTATTGAGTCCTACATCGACCATCAGTCTTTGCTGCCTCAACCAGGGTGGTCGAAGTGTCAACCCACTATTGGGTCAGGTGATATGGCATCACCATCTGGGATCGCATCCATATCGTGGTCGTGAGCTGTGACTGCTGCGGTGTAAAGCAGCGCCGCAAGGGCCGCTCTTGTAGGGAGGCCCATTTCGCCGTGGGTATTTCTGAATAAGATTCGGGTCGCTGCAGCTGGCGCCACGAGCAGGTGATTATCGTGGAATCTGCAGCGTTGAGAGTTTCACAATAGCATCGGACGCGTGCTAAGGTGAGACCGAATGGGAGGCGAGTGTGTTCGTTGTTTCCCTTGCAGGCGTTGTCGCAATCTCGTGCTTACGTGAACAGAAGGCGCCACCGTCATTGGCTTCCGCCACACTCCGACCGGGCGATCAACACTATCATCTCCGACACCATCGTCGCCCTGCAGCTTCAGCTTCGCCATTCACGACATGACTTTCGAGAAGGGCGTCACCGAAATCGCGGACTCGGATGATGATCCAATGACGTCGTCACCTGGTGTTGTTCCGGATGAAGCGGGCGACAAGCATTGCGCAGTGTCCCATGTTCCGTACCAAGAGCGACAAGACGCGTCGCGCGAGGCAGATGGCCTCCAACAAGCATTCGCCGAACGCGATGCTAGCACAACTGAAGTCTTGGGCGCCGATTCCACCAATTCTCCAGTTGATGTCGACGCGTCGAGAATTGATCAGACTAACATGATACCCAATGAGACCACTGCAGCGCAAAACGAGGAAGGCGCGACTGTCGAAGGTGGCAGCCACGGCCGGGGACTCCACACACAAATACATCCACAACAGCCAGTATCGACGACCAGAGACATGTCAAATGGGCCTCAAGTGATGGTCGTTCCAACTGAAAACCGGGATCCAGTTGCCAAGGATGTCGAATCTGACCCCTCAGCCCGCGGTGACGAACAGCAGAAACCTGTAAGCCATGCCAGTCCATCTTCTGCCGAACAGGAAGTAGCTGAGGCTATTCAATCCACAATGGCGGATGCGCCGTTGAAGGTACCAGGTGCTGCTGCTCTCGCTCCATCAGAGTTCAGCGTCGATTCTGAGTTCCCAAACGGGTCAACATATCAATCGCAAAGTACTGTCACACTCGCCAGTCTGCCTCGTGAGTCGAAAGATGATTCGGGTCGAGCTGTAAAGCATCATCCGGTAGATGGACACATGAGCGACAACGTAGTCTGTCCTAGATCAATACTTTGTAAGTTCACGCGCTCACATACGTTAGGACCGATCTCGGCCGACCTCAGCAGCCGCCAGCATGCAGTCGAATACGACAAGGATTGAATTAGGCTCGTCAGGCGACGCAGGTCCTGCTGCGACCATGCCGGACGACTACACCAGCTCCACGCTCCATAGGGCTCAAGACACTGAAGATACGCCTCCTGATGCGCGAATGCACATCAACACTAGCGAAGCTGCCATGATCGAAAACGGATCTAGGTTTGAGATCGGCCAGGAACAAACTCACCGAAGCATATCCGCGGACCAGCAACCATCCGCAGAAGAAGTGGCATTGCCGAAAGAGAGCGCAGGCTCAATTTTTGGTGCTAGTTCACCAATTGCTAAACTATCTACCCATGCCCAACCACACGCTGACGCCCAACGCTTGCCATCGCCCATCCCAATGCCTCTATCGAGAACATCACAGGAAGTCACTCTTGACAATCTGAGAGCCCAAAAAGCTGCACTCTTGGCCTCTCTCAGTACCCTTCCAGCGATCCAAGTGCTGATGGAAGAGAACGCCCTTTCAGATGCCGAATCAGGCGATGCTAGCGATGAACCTACTGAGACCGATGTCATGGCAGCCGCAAACAAAATCGTGAAAGAGCACATCAAATTATTACACGAATACAACGAGCTGAAAGATGTGGGTCAGGGGTTGATGGGCCTTATTGCGGATCAGCGGGGTGTACGGATAGTCGAAGTTCAAGAGGAGTTCGGCATCGATGCGCAGGACTGATCGCAAGTTTACCAGTGTACTGTGAACGGCAACGGGAGCGAGGAAGCGATAGACGACGGTGTGAACTAGGCGTGACAGGCGCAGAACGAACACGGCATCTGAGTGTCAAATAAACCTTATACTGTATGTACTTCCTCTTTCGCTCTATATGCAATCTGCCGTTCTCAGGCTACACACCACTGTCCCGTGCCTAGTTCGACTGCCCGCTGATCCGCCACGCCAGGCTCGGGGCTCCAGCTCGCCGACTTTGCCAATACCAGCTGATGCCTGTCTCCATCAACAGACTTGATGGCGATCCTTGGCCTCGACACATCTTCCGACGGACCCCAAGTACAGGTGGACGCGATGAGATCAATTGCGCAATACGAGCGCATCCTCGGTCCATCTGAGATGCGGCTCATCCTCCAGATCTGGTTCGGGCCTCTCGAAGCCCGCTCTCTGCGGGTAGCGACAGACTTTGCGCACGGACCGCGAGCCGTGTGGCAGGGACGCGTTTGGCCAGATTGCCGGAAACCGGAGAAGCACCGATTGGAAAGGAAGAATTCCAGAAGACTGGATCTCAAGAGACAACGCCACATAGGTTTTCTTTTGCGACCTGCAGAACGTGGATGTATTCTCACAAGAGTTGGGTTGCAGATTATGGTCAGCTGAGCCAGAATCCTCATACGATGTTCCATGACTCTGCACATTGCCATTCGGTCAATGTCGGCCACCAACACCTCAGCATCACCTTGGACGGGAATAATTGCAACCATCGTCTTGAATAATTGCGGGTCTTCCTCGGTCATACTCACACATGTAATCAGGGGAAGCGACGGAAGCTACGATCGTACCCCGAATACACCAGCAGAGTCGACCCCATGTATCGATGTGGTCTCATGCGGGTATCAGCATTGTACGTGTACCAACTCCGTCTCAACCACCGGTGAATATCAAATGCAGACCTTGAGCCGCAGCGCCCAGCTTTCTGCAGTGATTGCAGGGAAATGGGAGTGCAGGGGCGCTGTCCATCCGTCTGAGAGGTCGACTGACGAAGTGGCGGTGCAGATTCTGCGTCTTGGTGTGGAGTCAGATGTCGCGCATTCATGCATTCGCGTTGACGAGTTCCATGAGCGTTGAAGATCCGCGGCCCCACGCAGGAAGGCAACCTTGGGAAAATCTTGAGCATCCTAGCCTTCGGAAGTATTATCGCGACATCTATGTTCATCATCACTTACATGTCATGAAGTCGGCGACCGTCCACTATCCGATGAGAATAGTAATCGTCTTCAACACTAACAAAACCCGATATTCTTGTTACGTTCCACGATACACGTCAGCCGTGTAATTTAAGGTTTAAGATGACACTTACTTTCGGGTAGGAGACAGATCTAACTTACATGTGGCGCTCTGAACGTCGGAGCCCAGATTGCGCAGTGTCCCGCTGCTTGATACCAAGCTAGGAAGCCGGTCCACTCCGTAATGCACGTCTACTCGCAAACGCAAGCGAGGGTCCTTCGGAACACTTGGAATTACTAGCGGGTAGCATCTACACGTGGTGATTGGCAGCTAGAGCATGGCAGGACAACCCAAGCCGCTTGCTAAGTTGACAGCTCCACGGTGCATGCCGTCCCGTCCACTAATGCCATCCTATTGCTAGTCAGTTACCAATGATGAACTTATCGGTAGTTTGCAACGTGCTTTCTGTAGCGGGCGTGCCTCCTTTCCGGGATCAGTAGCGATATATGGGTGTTTTGGAGACCCTGAGCCCTTCTACATCAGGATCTTTCTGACCGACTTCTCCTTCCCCAACCTCGGCGTTACTTACACCACACAATGTCGGCTACCGTCCAGGACTTCCAGCTTGCTGCTCTGGCTGCCGGCTTCACGATTGGGTTCGGGTTCTTGACAGTATGGGAGGCCGTCAAGCAGACACGGCGAAATCACAGCCCTCTCCGATCAGCCTACATTTACATGATATGGGGTGAGATTCTGGTCAATGTCATCATCGGTATCATCGGATGGCTGTTCTTGAACGATGTACTCGGGCCGACGTGAGTTCCCTGGCACTGCAGTACACGACAAAGAGTCGACGCTGACAAAGACTACAGTGTCCCCGTTCTATTCTTCATCCTATTCTTCTGGGTATGGGAGATCCAACTGCTCATGCAAATCATCATCAACCGCATTGCCCTCATCGCAGAACACCGAAGTACCATCCGCAACCTCAAATGGGGAACAGTAGTCTTGATCACCAGCATCAACATCGCCGTCTTCTGTATTTGGATCCCATCGCACACCGTCCCACCAATCAGCGAAACCTTCGTCAAGATCAACAACGTCTGGGACAAGGTCAGCAAGGTGCTCATCCTAATCGTCGACGCAGGCCTGAACTGGTACTTCCTGCGAACCGTCAAGATCCGCCTCGTCGAACAACACGGTCTCACCAAATACGCGCCACTGGTAGGCTTTAACGGCAAGCTAATGGTTGTCTCCATCGCCATGGACGCCCTCCTCATCGGTCTCATGTTCCTCCAAAACCAAGTCGTATACGTCCAATTCCACCCCGTCGTCTACATGGTCAAGCTCAACATCGAAATGTCCATGGCCTCCCTCGTCGTCCGCCTCGCGCAAGGCAAACCCCAGAACGATATGAACCCCGAAGAATTCCACAGCTCCTCCGGCCCGGACTCGCACTCACGCTCCAACGCACGCTCGCACCAACCGCACTCGGTTCAGCTGACCAACCGATCGAAACGCAACACGACGAACATGCGCAGCGCGGGGCTGAGCAAGATTGATAGCGATGAGAGTTTGGAGCTGGGTGGTATCCAGTGTACGACGGATCTACACATCACGCATGAGGACAGGAAAGATTATATTGACAGGAAAGATTTCATAGAGGGCAGCTCGAGGAGTAGCAACGACGCGCCGGCGCCGAGTGTGTTTGGGGATGAGACGCCCTTGAAGCAAGGGGCAAGGATACAAGAGAGGTCGATGTGAAGAGTTGTTTCGTTTGTTTTGTTGAGCGGTTGTAATTAATGATACCCGTGGATATGTAATGACAATTGGTAAATATAAGGACGTCTCCATACACCAAGTGACGGGGCTCATTACCAGCTTATACTTACCAGTCTACTCACTGACAAGTCGGACGTCTAGCCCTCTCATCTGATACCGGTACCATTTCGAGTTCTTCTCTCCCCGCCTGCGGCTTTCTGGCCCGTGCCTACTTGATCTCAGCGCGCGCCCTCCGTCTTCACTCTCACTCCAGCCCAGACCCAACAATAGGACTGCCGCCTATTCTTCTGTCTCGCTTATCTCGCTGCCGGGAGTTGATCCGGAGGCCGAACGCACGTATATCAATATCGCTCCACCTCCGCAATCCAACGCTTCTACTCCCCACTCGTTCGCAGACTGCACCCACTACACTACCACCACCACTACCTCCACGCGTCAAATTTAGTTACCATGGTAAGGTTTCTCCTGCGTTTCATTTGCTTTTTCAGTCATTTCCACTGTCCAACGTTTCTTTCCTTGTGTCTCAACTCATTTCCACCGTCTACCTTTCTTGTTTCTTTTGTCGCCAACTGTTTACATCGCCATATATACTGTTCACACTTATACTTTTCGCACCCCCGGTCGTTTCTACTGTCATTTCTACTGTCTAACCCTTACTTAGGTACATAGTCACTCTCTTTGAGACACTGGCGTCACCTACCGCGACCGCAGCTTGCTTTCGACTTCACTAGCAACGACCGCGATCGGTTTCGCCCTTGTTCGTTGTAGAGATTATCGTGAGTTCGACAAAGAATCGTACTAGAGGAGGGGTGTAGGACTGAGCTTGAATCCGCGGTCGGGGTCTGGACCTGGGTCTGGAGCCTCCCGAGGTCTGTTATTTTGCTCTCAATTAGAAGTATCGTTGCGTATATGACCAAACCTTGTTGCACATGTAGACCAATCAGCAACATTCCAATTGTAACCAAGGATATTCCTTCTATGTGTTCTCCTTCATCGTGATGTTGCTGGTTGCCTAATCCTCCCCATGACGTCAGTCCCGCCTCCGCACGCAGCGCGACTATCTTTGACGCGTCGTGAATCACTCTCGCCACACTATCATGTCTTCCCCATCGAACACTGCTCTCAAAACGCTTATTTCGCGTTCCGACAATAGTAGTCTCTATGACTACACGTCGCGCTTCATTTCAGAGCTGGCTCTCTTAGGCTACACAGATGTAGCAGCTCAACTGATAAGCAGACTCAACAACTATGATTTCTATCACGACCGACTCGGAAGCCTTCGGCCCCTTTGGTTCCTCTGGGATCTGCGTGCGAATGAAGATGGTGTGCCATGGCCTGAGGGAGAAGAAGATAAAGTGCGCCAGGCTGTGAGGGACAGACGAGCCAAGACGATCGGTGGCGAACCTCGAACGAGGAACGACGAAACAATAACATCGGAAGATGTACAGGAAGAGCTGAAACTTATGGCGAGGGAGTTCGTGTCGAAATGGTATAAGCCGACCGTGATGCCAAGGTCAGGACTTGCAGAAGCTTCCCAGGCCCATGAGCTTGGTCGTTCACCCACTACTTCTGAGATGCTTGATAGTGCGATAGGTGTCATCCATAGCTTGGAGACTACAAGTCCGGCACCTACGATCCGAGATGTGAGAAGCGGGCTGGTGCGCACACTGGACCTGGTCTTATCGGCTGAAGCAAACCATGAACAGCCCGGGATGGACGAAACACTACGTCAGTCGAGTACCCCGTCATCCCACGAGATACAACGTTGGCTGGCGCATAGCTTTGGGGAACGTTCGTACGAGAATCAGCCAGCAATGGAGTCCAGGCAGGCATGGAAGCTATATAAAAGCGAAGCGCTGAGAAAGCACCTCAACATTGATGAAGCAGCGCTCGCAACCTTCGCAAAGGACTTTGAGAACGCTTTGACCGAGCGACTCACGAACGGTCGAACTAGAACGAGAGCAAATATGTCCGTGCAACAACTCTTGAAGGCAGCAGAATACAACACGAAATACAACGCCGAGGCCAGAAAAGTTAATCCCGAGCCCCCGGAAACCTCCCTCTTCCACTCCCCAGCCACAGACTCGCAGATTGAAGAAGCCGAAAACCGTCTCAACACCACCCTGCCAGCCGACTACAAGACCTTCCTCCGCCTCAGCAACGGCTTTGGTTCTCCATGGGGCCACCCACTAGGCGACCTCCAAACACCGCTCCATCCCGTGGATAAACTGCGCTGGCTCGACCCCGCAGAAGAAGACTACTTCACAGATCTCACGCTCGACCTACCCACTCGATGGGATAAATGGCCTTTCGCACCCCCTCCAACTAAGAAGGCCTATGCTTGCGACGAAGAGACAGAGCATTTCCTTATCGGTCGCGCATTAGAAATCGGTACGCAGGAGATTGACAACACATGGCTTCTCCCGCCTTCTACCATCACGCCGATAAAGCAGGCTGTGAAGAAGATCCTAGATGATGAGACACTTGGTGAACGTGAGAAAGACAGTGTAAGAGTTGCGATAAGGGATTTTGCGGGTAGCGAAGAGGAGTGGGAGCAGATGGAGTGGGCGTGTGTTACTTGGGCCAGTGGAGGGGTGGCGGCTATGTATGTTTATCCGGGGTTTAGGGCGTGGCTTGAGGATGTTATTGAGAAGGGGAGGGTTGGGTTGGATGGTGAGGAGGAGGAAGAGCAAGAGAATATGTTGAAGCGTGGCATGTGGTTGGGGAGGGTGTTTGAGAATATAACAAGCGGGGACAAGTCGGACGCGGAGGAGTTGCCGGAGTGGCTGAAAGACGCGATCAGAGCGGCGATGCCAACAAGAAGATGATGAGCACGAGGAGATGTAGCTGTCGAAACTGTAGTCCATGTCACGGAAACGCAGCCCGGGTTGAGGTAGAGACTGGGGCTTCTGGACTTTTGGCTTGAGACGAGCTCTCCTTGTGGATGGTCCGTGCTCTCATATAACGAGACATGGTGGGTATAAAAGCCTTCGTTCCTCCTGCTCCTTTCTTTCTCTGATCACACGATCCTACTTCTGAAATATCAAAAGTCATTGGTACCATTCTTATGGCTGTCTGTCCTGCGCTTTTCGGTTCCAAATCTGGAGGGGCGTGATGCATGATCGATCTATCACCCGAAAAGGTCCGCTGCCCTCAATTATGTGCAGAGGTATACTCCGAATGTCATGAGTTTGAACTCATGGTTCTGCCTTTGGCGTCTTCGAACAAGTACTCATCAAGGTTTTCACTCAAAGAAGCGCGATGATATCCTCATGAGCCGCCACTGTCTTCGAAACTCGGTGGCCGTCAAGATGATGGGTTGTCTACAACGGTTTTGGAATAAAAGGGCCTGCAGCAAGCTCACATGTTCCAACAAAGACGACAAGCGCTCGTATGATGATTTTGGAGCGCTGGCTAGGTATGTATACCGCTCTTTTTGGGTCTTTCTCTACTATATCAAGATTTGGACCGAAATTGAAAATCTATGTGGGACCTTTACATGTCCTGGACGTCTCCTTCTTTTCTCAAAATACATACACAAACATCCTATGGCTGGAAGAAAGAAGACTAAAATCGTATGCATCAGGTGCTATGTGCACTCCAGATCGACAGTTGCAAATACTCCCCCTTTTCCGGGAACAGCGAAAAGTCATGGCTATGAATACATGGACGAGAAACTGTGGCATTACGTTGCCGAGAGCGGCCAAAAATGGGGCTTGATTACATTGATGATCTTCTCCGCTGCCCCCGACTACAAGAAGTGTGTGTATAAAAACGCCTTTCACACCTCACCGTTCTCCTCTCCTACATCCCACAAGCTTTTGCTTCTTTTCCAAAGATCCAGCATCACGTTGCGATGTCTGCGCCTCTGCTTCTCTTTCAAAATCATGTGGAAGTTGTCGCATGTCTCTGGCCTGACTCTCGAAAATGGCGTCTGTCAAGGCCATGTCTTCGGTCGCTGAAACAAGTTACATCGAGTGGCTTCCGTTAAAGCGCGTCCAAAATCCCAGCTCGAAGACAAAACTCTCCCTGCTACACTCCAAAATCTACACTCTTTCTCCAAACAAAGAGTGCACATTACGATGTCTGCTTCTCCGCCCTTACTCTAAAACCATTCAACGCTCGCTTATGCTTGTGGAGACGTCGCCGTTAGCCTACCATTTTATGGAAGCATAAAAGGTTCATCATTCACGAGATACGATCTTACATCTTAAACCCTCGGTGCACGAATTCCTTTCCAAAAGTATCCTACAACTCATGTAATGTCTGCGTGTTCCGCTCTTTCTTCAAAGGATTATTCAGATGGGCATGTACCTGGCCTTTTTACCAAAAGCAGCACCCTCAGAATGTATGACCAGAGTTACCACTGGCTCAACTTGATGCGCCTGCCTGCCGTTCACCCTGCTCCGTATCAAAATTACGCGAAGACAACGCGATGCGGAGAAGATTGAACTCACTAAGGTTGCGCGGAATGAGAAAGTAGGACACAAATGCATACGCGACATCCTCGATAGTTGTCCTTCTCTAATAAGTAGATGAACGCATAAAATGACTTTTCTGCACGCCTCATCAACACTCTTTGTCATACAAACATAAATTTGACTAGGACATTAAAAAACAAGATTCCAGGGTCTGATAAGAACTAGAGAGAATCGAATGCCCACAAAAGGCTCGCGATGTCTACTTTGCTCTCTTCTTCCTTACTGTTCCTTTGAAACAGTATCATTGTTCAAACACCAGAAAACCTTTCAATATCGACGCATGAGAGGTAGAAGATCAGAAAGTATGCGCCAGGCCTATTATGTCCGCTCTGCGTCGAGCCCAACTACAACTTTCATCCTCTCCAGCATATGCTTTCTTTCAATCTGCTTTCACACATCCTACACCCAATATATCTAACAGAAGATTCTACACTACACTCTCATGAAAAGCAGACGACCAAAAGACTCACTTCTACTACTACCTGTCGCGCTAGGCTATAAAACACAACATTTCATCTGCCTATGCTCTTGTCTTCTCCTCTCATACATCTACATGTAAACTCAATGCAAAACGCCGAGTGGTCTGGTTCCATGAGAGGCTGAGAGTTCGAAAAACCATGTTCTTCATTTGTCATGTCGGAGTTCCTCGGAACGGGCTACGATGCATATAAATACCCCTCCTCTGCTTCTACTTCAGGCTTCATCAATAACACTCCCTTTTCCAAATACCAAAATTGGAACTCAAAGACGCGATGAGAAGACCGAGTTCCAAAACACGTTGAAGCAAAGCGCATGTCCTCTGTTCTCTGCGAGAGCAGGGCGTGTATAAAATTCTGCTCTTCTGTTTCTTCTTCCTGCTCTCTACCTACTCTTTCCGGAATACACTACTAAAGGCATCGCTGAGCTTACTTATGACTTGAGTTCGGTGGAAAAAGAAAGCCCACATTTGACGGATTATGTCCTGACTTTTGGGCTTGCGGCCAAAAAGGAATCAAAAAGAGACGATGGCCTGGTGTTTTGTCGTCTGCAAGTCTTTATATGTACATGTTTGAAGCATCAAAACCGTATATGTGACAGACTGTCAAAGATACTCGAAGAACGTCTTAATGTTCGTGTGCGCGTCGACGGCACACATTCAACTAGAGACCTGCGTGTTAGCGTTGTGTCGTAGCAGCGACGAGAAGAACACGGCTACAGAGCATATAAAAGACTGGTCTCCTCCCCTCTGACACTTGTCTTCTACACATCCTTCACTTTACCCAAAATACCAAAACTCCGATGATTTCGAATCATGGAAAGCAGACGACCAAAAACGGCTACCAATTGTTACATGTCTGACTTCCTTCAACTTCTAAAAACCTAACCTCGAGGTACCATGTTCTCTTTCTCGCCTCTCGCTGCATTTCTTCAATCGAAACTCTGAAGGGTTCTCAAAAAGAGCGCCGAGATGACCTATGAGAAGCGGAGACGTCGAAAATTGAAAGACGCGATCGCAGTGGGAAAGTTCGCTCCAGCTTATTCTATCAAAGTAATTTGGTCTGTATCTCATGGTCTTCTGACTGTTCAAAAGAATGGAAATTTTACACATGATATCAAAAAGAAGAGGCAAGATTGCCATGAGAAGCAGATGACCAGAAGATTCGAATCAGCAACCGAATGACTGCGTTGCTCACAGCGAGGTGTGAGGGGTATTAAAGACCCTCTCTTCTGCCCTTTCTCTGTCTTCCTTATTACACTTCGACGTTGGCTCAACACCAAAAGTAGAGCAAGCTCCTTCGATGAGAGCAGAGACTGGGAAATCAAAAACAAGATCCTTGGGAGCCATGTTCTGAGCTTTTTCTGGAGAGAGGATTCCAACGTCAGCTGGCGGGGCAAAGTGCGGCAAACGGATGACATGTCCAAAGACGTTGACTGTGTCCGCGATGAGAATCGCCTTCCCTGTTGAGTGGACAGGATACCAATCATATGTTTGTTCATAGTATGCATTACTTCGTATCGAATCTCCCATCTCCACTCAGCCAGGTCGTCTGACTTTCTTCAGCCTATTCCTCCAACCTCTATCCTTCCCGCTCTTCCCTTCTCTTGTGTCGTTCGATGTGTCCGCAGCCTCGGCTTCTTTCTTTCTCGGATACCCATCGTCTGGAGTACCCGGCCCATCATCTCGATCCCGAGTATCGTCACCATGATTTCGATTCCACATCCCCTCCCCCACAAGCGTCGCCTCCCGACTAAGCGGCTTGCGACTCAGCCTCGCCTCCTCCACACCCCTCAGGTACCTCTTGCGCAGTTCTTCGTCGCTGAGGACGTGAACCGAAAGATCAGTGTCGGACCTAGCCAGCGGTCTAATCTCCATGTCGTCTTCAGTCGGAGAAACCATCCACGCTTTCTCCTTGCCCGCCAATGCGAAAGTAGGAGTTGGCGTTGATAACAAGGGTGTTGGCGACACGGGCGACTTGACACCACCATCTGCATCCGTATCTTCGAGGTCCTGCAAAAACAGCCCATGATCCACAACCGTGCCTCTCGTCCCTTTCTTGCCATATAACTGCCTCCCCAACGCCCTGTTCTTCGCACTAATAAGATCCTTCCCACTCAACCCCGTGCGCCTCCTCGCCGCCACCGCCATCGCAAACGCCGCGCGCAACGGCGTAAGTCTGTATCCCTCCTTGACAAGCGTAGAATTGAACTGTGCGTCCTGCCACAGCACGTACATACTAAAGACCCAGGCACTCGTCACAAACATGAACAAACCAGCCATGAGTGTCGAGAAACCCCATTGGTAGGTCGGGTTGGCAGTGTCGGGGAGGCAGCGGCTTTTCCCGATGAGCGAGTCGTACTGATACCCTATGCTATTGTAGCAGTACCCGTAGTCCCCGACGAGGTCGTCGGCGTTGTACGTTTTGCCACTGACAGGGACGGAGACGCTGGTGTTGCAGAGATGAGTGATGGAGTCTTGGTTGTAGACCTTTTGTTCCGTCCAGGTTTGCGTGTTGTTGGGGAAGTCGAAGGTGCAGTTGAAGAGAAGATCGTCGTATTGATTAAACGAGGTGTGTTGCCAGAGGTCTCTTTGTTCGGCGGCGGTTACAGTGGTGCCGTTGGAAAATTTGCAGTCACCTATTTGCGCTAGTATTAGTATGTCGAAATATTCTTGGAGGGGTGGTTGAATGATGGGTGTGGTATGTGAGGGGCAAGGTGGAGGATGACGACGTACAACTTTGCCGTCTCTTATCCGTAATGTAGCCATAATCACTACGCAGATCGTAGTCCGCACAGCCCGGTTGCTTCCACGTCTCGTTCTTCGTGCCTAAGATAACCCACGTATTTGATAATTGGGAAGCGGGGATGATGTTGTTCGACCCGTCGATATCGAGCCACGCGATAGAAGTGCTGTCGTAACCTGTCATGGCGCCG